AGTACCATCAAAGAAAGATCCCCCCCCCCCCGCCCCCAACAAAAGTTTTACCAGAATGTGGCAGAGACCGAAGTGAGCAAATGCTTTTGGGAAAAGGATACCACTAGACTTGGTCGATACAGGGTTGCCCCAAACTTTCAATTTGTAAAAAAAAAAAAAAAAAAAAAAAGGCGGGGGGGAGGCAGTATCTGCAAAGTGCAATAAAACAAGGGATGCCTGTGCTAGAACTAACACCTTGGGGTGCAGTGCGTCTGCTGTTCACCCCTTTGGGGAATCAAGTAAACCCTCTCGAGCAGCAAGTAAGAGAACGTTCCCTCTATTAACTTCCACTAATGGCTCCCTACCCTCTGTTCCACTTTGCTCTGGGGGACATGCTTGCATGTAGGTCCTTGTATCTGTTCTCTGAGCCTCCTTCATGGTGGTATTGCTCTGGCTGGTGAGCCGTGTCTTCCATGTTATCTTTTGGGTCACTAAAGCAGATCTCTGTTGATGAGCTGAATTTTTAAATTCAAGAAATCAGGTTTTTGTTTCAAATTCCAGAAAGTCTTTTTTCAGTGCTCTATTTAGACATCCTTGAAAGTTCTTACGACTTGGATGTTAGGGTTCTCTTTAGATGCTTCGATGGCTCAACTTCAGCTGCCGGCCACTGGTACCAGGGCTCCACCTGGGTCGGTCTTCCTCTTATTGCTGTGTGCTAGGTTTTTTCTTTGCTACTTCACGCTCACCATTTTGGTCTGTCCAGTAGTCACATCAAGTTGGTGGGGCTTTGTGGCAGGCACCGAAGTCTCTGCTCTTTGGGATCAAACTGGCAAACACTAGCTGCACAAGGAGGGTCTTCCCCACTGTAAAGAAATCTTGACCATCTGCCAAAACTAGGACAAGCTCAGCGTCAGGGTGCCGCTCCCCGCCCTGGGTCTCTAGAGCCCTTCTGCAAAGGGCTTCACACATCTCTTCTGGCTGAGCCCACACTGGGAGCCTCAGCATGCTGGTCTTTTCCCCCCTCAGCTCCCAGGCAGCACCATCTGCCACAGGATCAGTACTCAGAGATCCCAGGTACTGCCAGCTTCCCATTGATGATGAGGAGGATGCATATGCAAGTTTTCATACTTTATCCTGTCCCCTTCTTCTGAATCCCACAAGTTAAAATCCTTTGAGGGGAAGCCCTTTTTCAGTTAATGGTAAGGCTGGATATAATACATCAGCTTAAAAGAAACTACTTGCAGAGAACAGTTCAACATGCTTTCACAAAGATGCGGGGTTTTTTTCCTTCTGACTAGTATTCCGTTACTAAATCTCTAGCCCCAGGAAATAATTTTTAATCAAAAAAAGGTTTATGAAGACCTTCATTATTTATAAAGTAAAAAACGGCAAACAACCTAATCGTCCATCCCTGGGAGAATGGCTAAGTGAATGAGGGACCCTCACCTGATGAAACAGGCATTCATGGCTTTGAAAACCATAACCTAGAAAAAGGCTCCAAGTCACCCCTGAAGTAGGTAAAGGGCACACGTTCGTGCGTATTGTATGCATCCAACTGTGGATTTATCGTGCAAAAAGGAAATCGGCCCAAATGCTCCCCGTGGTTAGGTATGGGTAGTTGATGGGGATTTTTTTCACCCTCTTCCTCCTTTATTTTACTACTTCTCAAGTGTAGTAGGTAATAAAACGGCGTTGAAAAGATTTTTTGTAAACCATATATGCCGCTAACAGGGCAAAGGACTGAGCATTGATAAATTGTGACATGTCAATGGCTTCTTGAGAAGCAGCTTGAAGTGCTCATTGACTGTTTTCTGGAGCTTTAAACTCCATCCAGCCCTCACTGGATCAATTACTGACTCAGAGAAGTCTTTTGTGAGGCTATTTACCAGAGTTTCTCCCTGGCATGACAGAGGATATGGTAATTACTAGAACAAGGTCTGACCTTGGGCAAGGAGAAAGCCCAGGTCTACCACACACCCCAGTGTAGCTCCCCAGAGACGCCTCGTCACACTGTGGGGCGGAAACTCCAAATGACACCTCTGAGTGCCTGAGTACCAGGGGACAGATGCGGAATTAAAGCTTAAAAACCATCCACTGAAATGAGGTTTGCACATCATAGACACCTTTTCTGCCAAAACTCCTTCACAGAGCAGATCTGGGCACGTTCACATTCCCCTTGGCACCCTCCACCCTGCCCGCACTCCCTGCCCGTGCTCCACGGGGTGGTCCCCACAGCCCCCTCCCAGGAGTCTTCGACATGGGGGAAGTTACATCTAGACAAATACATTTTCTTTTAAACACGTACTAATACTAAAAGTTTCTCTGCTGCTGGTGTTACCAAATTATTTATAATGTTTCCAAGTTGTTTACAACAGCTTTGTAGAGCAATGTCTAGACCGAGGCTGCCCCATCCCCATCTGAAACCAAGTTTATCATATCATTTTTCCATGAAATGTCTGCAGATGGGCTTTATGTACACAGCGAGGAAATGCTGGTTGCCTTTCCCCAGGCAACAGAATCCCAGATCCTTCTGTGGCCCAGGGAGAGGTAAGCTGGACTCAGCCAGGGGTCTTCAAGCTTACTTACTCCATTTTACAGGTTTACCGTCCTGCTAAATAAGCTGATCCCAGGGGTGCTTGGGTGGCCCAGTCAGTTAAGTGTTTGCTTTCAGCCTGGGTCACGATCCTGGGGGTCCTGAGATCAGGCCCCATGTCAGGTTCCCTGCTCAGCGAGGAGTCTGCACTTCTCCCTCTGCCCTCCCCACTGTCCCTGCTCATGGTCAGCCTCTCTCTCAAATAAATAATATCCTAAAATAAATAAATTGATCCCATATCTGGGAATCAATCCTAAGAAACTAACTAAATTAAAGAAGGAAAATAGTAATCACATGAAAAATTTCACAAAAGCCTTATTTCTCAGTGGATTCCATAAATGCCCAACTGGGGGAATGGTGATTAATCTATGGTCAGCCCACTCGATGGAAAAACCTGTCCATCATTTAAGTGTTAACAGTATGAAAAGTGTTGATCATTTCACTTAAAGCAGTTCTCAACAAGGACAAGTTTGCCAACCGGGGGACATGGAACGATGTCTGAAGATAGTTTGGTTGTTATACAAGGTCCAGGGATGCTGTTCAACAGTCCAAATGCAGGGGGCAGCCCCCACCACAAAGGATGATCTGGCCCCAAATGTGAAGAATGCCAGAGTTTAAAAAAGAGACTGGACACATGGATTTGTATTATTATTACACTTACATAAAAAAGGCATTGGCCTAGGAAGAGAAGGGATCAAACCAAATGCTTACCGGATCTATTCGTCTCTTCCCCCAAATTATAAGACTGGATAGTAGGCACAATCTGGGTGGTGTGTGTGTGTGTGTTTAGCCATTTACACAAAATAATGTATTCTGGCTTAGATCTTTTTAATGGACTTAAAGTCTTGGGCATTCTCACCAAGGACTTGACAGCTAACTGAGTTGTCCTTTCAGGACCGAATATTGCTATCACAGTAAGAATCAAGAAAGGTGATTTTTTTTTTTTTTTTTTTTTTTTGGATCCATCATTCAAGGTTCGAGTGACTATTCACTTCATATGGAAACATTTATTTTGACTGAGTCTAAAGGCATGGACATGTCAGATTTGTTTCAGAATGGAAAACTTTGCATTATCCATCGCCTTATGCTTTCAAGACACAACTTTGTCATCAGGAGCCTATCTTCTACCAACAGAAGTGATACGTCTGGCTGTCACCGAGGTTCTTTGGCCACCAAAGAACTGTGCCTTTTAAGTGTTGCTTCCTGCTTTTGCTTTCTGTCTTTCCTTATCTTTGCAACCTCTTCCATTTCAATGTTGATAAAATGCTTTAAAGTGGAAAACTAGCAAGGTTGCAAAAACTGAATGTAAGGCAGACAGCTATGCAGAATGTTCTCTCCTCTGAGTCAAGTTCATGAATTTTTACTGCACGGACTATGGCTACAGCTGCTAAAAGGCATCTCTACCCCTGCCATCTCCCTTCCCCGTTGGATGGTTCTCAGCTCTATTCTGGAAGTTGCCAAATAAGCAACTTCCAAATCCCTGTGTAGTTCTTAGAGCCAAACAACAAGTGAGAGGCTGTGATTTCTCTACCCAGAGAACAACCGGGAAGACAAAAGAAGATGCATATCCAGGCACAATGACCAAGGCCACATCAGCCCACTGGGGTCCAGAACCATGGTTTTTCTAGATTATCCAAAGAGAAGTGGGGTGACCACACACTCACCCAACCCATGCTGAGTTTTGTGGTAGGGAAATGGAAAGGTCTTTGGATTGGCCACATCATGGGGTCTTGCAAAAAGACATGCCAAGTGGGTCCCATTCTGTGGGCGGGGCTATCAAGAGGATTGTGCAGCTCCAAGATCACATATCCAGATAGTCTCCCACTGTCAACCCGAGACCTGAACTATCCCAGCTTGGTGCTGCGTTCACTGAGGCCAAGCCCTTCCCCCACCAACCCTCCCCACACTGGTTCATCAAAGGAGAGACCATGTATCTTCAAGGTCTTGACAAAAGGACCAAGGTGGCAGGCTCCTCCAGGAGCAAAGAGAAGGACAAAAGTAGTGCCCATCCCTATGAACGTGTTTCCCCAGCACAGGCCCCAACAAGGCCTTGGTGGATGCTCTCAGCCCTTCTAAGGGACTCCCAAGACCATTAGTGGGGGGAAAAGCACCCAGGAGAGATGAGCTTCTCTAAAAGAGCATTATCTTGCTTGACTCTACTTGCTGAAATGAAACTATACGGAACTTCCCAAGAGCTTCAGCTTTCCAACTACATGACCTACTCAAAGAATCCTATGGCATTCTCCAAGGAAGGAAGGATGCTGGAAGGAAAAACCTGGGACCACGGAGGAATTCTTTTATGACGTGGCTTGTCCCGCTAGTGGTTTCCCAACGGGTTTAAGTCCATCAGCCAACCATACCCATAGACCATTTCCACCCCACCAGCAGACGCAGCTCAGGGAACCCCAACTGGCGTTTCTTCACTCACCAGGACTGGCTGCATCTCACAGAAAACCAGGAGGGAAGCCAGCTCGATGTCTTCGCTGTACCCGTTCTTCAGTGGAACAGATCTGAATCCTGCAGAGAGTGGAAGAGCAATGCAAATACAGGCCATTAAGGTCAGACCTTAGCTTTCTTAGGGTACCCAGGGATCGCATGTCCAGTGCCAGGAGCGGGTAAGCTGCTGGCTGACTTTCTGGAAACCGGAGGTCCCTTCTTGATAGCTCGGGAGAGGGGCTCCAAAATGCAGCCCCAATGGATGGGCCCACACCGAGAAGTGCAGTTAAAGAACTCAGCCATGTAGAAATGGAAATCATTCACTCGAAAGAAATCAAAATGTACAGAACATCACACATTTAGAGGGACTGCAGCTGTGGTTCCGTTCCCTAAGTCCGCCGGAGGCCAAAAGACTCACAGGAGTAATGCACCCTTGTATCCCCTCCTCCATGTCTGCCTTTACGAAGTGTAGGATCAGGGGGTGGGGGGCACTGTTTTATCCTGAAAGATTTCCAATAGGAGGAAATCTGTCCCTTGGCAGTCCATAGCAGTATTGATCCTCCTCTGAAAGCTTTTCTCTATTTATAATTAGGACACTCTATTTAGGGGGGAGGGTTGAGTTAGAGCTGATTTTCCCCTCATTAAGTAATGTTTAAGACAACACATCTCAAAAGTTGGTTGATTTGCTTGTTTTAATTTACTCTAAACAAATACATAGTAAAAACTGAAGTCTCGTTCCTACCCGCTCATAATCCCTTCTTTCAGAAGGAGCCACTTTGAACAGTATCTCCCCAAGGTACTATCTTGAGTTTCTTTTAAGTCACTAATAATAGTAATGTATGGTTTTCATTTAACATTGTATTTTGGAGATGATGTGGCCCTAGTTTGTCTCGAAAGCTTTTTATCTGCATTCTGTCTTCTCATTCTCCCAGACAAGCAATGCCTGAATTAGGGCACTCACACTGTACCCTCTGTGTCTTCCACCACCCAGGTTTTGGCTTGTCCTGTTATTATTACTTCTTTTGGAGAACCTTTAACAGTATCACTTGACTAATCCCTCTCTCCCTACCCACTAGGTTCAGGTGAGGAAGTTGATGTGCTTATTGCAAGCCCACACCTCCTCTCGCCTTCCTTCCCCTAATTTGGGTTAGCTGAATTATTGTCTCTACAAGATACTGCATGTAAATACCGTTGATCCTTGAGCAATGCAAGTTTGAACTGTGCAGGTCCACTTTATACACAGATTGTTTTCCAATAAGTATGGTAATGTAAATGTATTTTCTTAACATATTCTCTCCTCTTACTTTAAGAATACAGTATAAAATACAAAGTATGTGTTAATTGACTGTTATAAGGCTTTTAGTCAGCCATAGGCTGTTAGTAGGTTTTGGGGGAGTCAAGAATCCTAGGTGGCTTTTTGACTGCTTGAGGGATGGACATCCCCAACCCCCACACTGTTCAGGGGTCAGCTCTATTGTGTTTTTGTAACCGTAATTCTTCCACAAAGGGAGACTTGGTTATAAAGTTTTCAAACATAGAGCAAAGCTAAGGTAATATTACAAGGAACACTTGTATACCAGCCACCTAGATCGTACCATTAACCTTTTACTGTGTTTTTTTAATCACATTTATCCATTCCTCCATCTAGCATACAGGTGTATATATATTTCAAAGTGAGATGAATACATCTGTACACTTCCTCCTATATACGCTGGCACGCATCTCATGAGCTGGAGCTCAATACTTGTTTTCAGTGTCCTTCCGATTGAAAATTTGTGCATTTCATTGTGTGTAACTTTCAAATGTCCAGTGCTCACCACCTTTTTATTGGACTTCTCTATCAGTGTTTTTGTTGACTAACCTTGTTCTCTCATTTTAATACCACCTTGCGAGACATACAGTCCTCAAATAGCACATACTTGAACGCATCCATTCTTTGGTTTTACACTTGAGTGACAGTTTGGGTATAAAACTCTCAGGTCAAACCTTTCCCCGGAGGGTTTTGAGGACATTGCTTTCCATTATTCATGGAATAATGTGAAGTTTTCTGACCTATTCTCCCCTTCTAGATGAGGTGATTTTTCTTGGCTTGTTTGCTGGTCCGGTTTTTTGCCTGGATACCTACAGTATTCCGGCAGTCTAGCCTAGTGCTCCTCCAGCTTTAATGTTACGGGAATCTTATTAAAATGCAGATTCTGCCTAGGGACTGGGGTGGGGCCTGAGATTCTGCATCTCTAAGGGCTGGTCGGGGGATAGTGCAGAAGAAGTCCGTCTAGGTGTTGATCGACTGTTAGAATTGTTCTAGACTGCTGAGCGCTCCGTGGTATCGGGAAGGCTATCAGATGGCCCCGATACTCCAATGACGTGGCAGTGCCCTTTTGCTTAGAACCAACACTCAGCAGGTGCCTCCAGATTTGGAGAAGTGAGCCCCATCCCCACATCCCTCCTTTCAATGGCCAGGTCTCATTTCATGAGCGGCCTTCACGCATCTTGGGGTTAGGGTGGAAAGGTGTTGCCCAGTTTCACCAGAAAGTTTGGTTCTGTGTTACCCTTGTTGATTTGGGTTGTGTCATAGATGAAAGAGAAATAGAGACCTCTTTTGAAGCATGGTCAGTATTTTGGCTTATTAGGAGTAGGGGAGGCCTGTAGAGTAGGAAGAAGGTGGAGTGTGCAGTGAGTCTGCAGCCCAGCTCTGATCCTACAGGTGTGTGACCTTGAGCAAGTTAATTAACATCTCTAGGCCCCAAAACGCTCGTGTTTAAAAAGCAGAGATGATAAAACCTCTTTCACAGGACTGCTGCAAGGATTAAAGAGTTTAAGGCACAAAACACAATAAATGATGTTTTCCTTCCTTTCTGAGCTTCATCTGGCTCAAAAGCTTAAGTGCATCCCTAACGACAATGGGAAGAGTGTATTTGTGAGCTCAGAAGGGTCCCAATGCCTTATGCGAAATTTCACTCCTTCCCTGATTATGGATGTGCCAGGCCTTGCTGGAAATTGCACAGGAACGAGACAAGGTCCTTACCGTTCTGACGGCTGGAGGAAGGGTCACATTTTTCATTATCTATGACATATTGTTCTTTTAAAAAACAAAAGATTTTATTGATCTGAGAGAAAGAGAGAGGAGGAAAAGGAGAGGGAGGGAGCCCAACGCTGAGCTCTATCCCAGGACCCTGAGATCACGACCTGAGCCAAAGGTAGATGCTTAACCAACAGAGCCACCCAGGTACTCCTATTCTTTGTATTTTAAATCTCCAAGCTAACTCTTAGCATTTTCTAGATTAAAGGACACAATTTGGCTGGTAAGGTAAGGGAGGGTTCATCAACTCTGACCTCTCTCCAAGGCATGAGGAGCAATTACAAAGCTCACATCCCTTGTCCTTCAAGAGGACATGGTTACAAGGTCCTGACAGCAGAGCAGGATGAGCCCAGGGGAGGTGGGGTAAGAAGACAGTTACCATAGAAAGAAATCTATCTTAAGCTTTGTTTGTCTGGTATTGTAAAAGGGCACATTACAGAATTGCAGCTGGGTTTAAAGTACCTGATGGAGTGGGCAAGTTAACCAAGAGGGGTTGCCAAATATCACACTGTGGGGACTTACACGTGAATACTATATCTTCATAATGTTCTCTAAAAGTTCATCTACTCCTGCACTTAGGAATTTGTTTCCTGGATGGTAAGATGAGCAGCCGAGCTCAGTCCTCTCAAAGTGCCCGCTGAGGAGCTGGCAAAACCTGCACCTTCCTGCCCAACCCCCATCCACAGGGGGAGCCGAGCGCGCAGGAACGGGCCCAGCGACCTGCATTTTCTAAGTACCTGGCTAGCTGGGCAGGTACTGGAAATGATCAGATTTAGGATACTAGGAAAGGTAGAAATTTAGGGAATATCTGATACAATTCAAGTTTAGAAAAAAAACAAACGAAACAAGACACAAGGTTTCCAAACAACATCAAGAAAAAAGCCTATATTGGTATATAAATCACTAAAATGAGTGATCTGTTTCTCTTGAAAAATGATCCTTGGGGAACAGTGACCTCATGAGGAGTCCAGAAGGATCTATGATCTTATGGCTCATGCCTCAGAAATGCTAAGGAAAGGGGCAAAGAGAATTCAGCATCCAGTGAGGGCCTGTTTGTCAAACGTGACACACACAATCCAGCAGGAGAGTAAAAGCAGAGCAACTACACAAGATAAGGGCAGCCACATTGACAAAGCAGCATCAAGCTCATGTGTCCCAAATCTCCTCCCTGGGGGGGGGGGGGGGGGGGGGGGGATGGGACTCAGAGAGCACAAGTGCATGCCAGAGCGAGCACGAGCGGGGTGAGAGGGAGAAGCAGGCTGGATCCCAGGACCCCGAGATCGTGACCTGAGCCACCCAGGCACTCACAAATGGAGATTTATTAACCATTCCAATTTTATGGAATAGGAAGGTGAAGCTCTGCTGCCATGGGAAGAGGCAGATCTGAGACTGCTCAGAGCCCTTTTCTTCCCACCCGGGCCCAGTGCCGGCCCGGCAGAGTGGGAGATGCGTCCCGCAGCCCCTAGCCGTTCAAAATGAGACCTGACTACACTGCCAGGTGGACAGGCCACTAAGCCAGCTTTGCACACAAAGGCCTGACTGAGAAAGGCGCAGCCTCCCCACCTTCCCCAGGCTGGATGCCTGCTCATGGTGACAACCTTATGTGATCAGCTGTCCAAGCCACCCAATCAATTTTGCAACAATTTAATAAAAACCAGGAAGAGGGCGCCTGGGTGGCTCAGTCGTTAAGCGTCTGCCTTCAGCTCAGGCCATGATCCCAGGGTCCTGGGATCGAGTCCCACATTGGGCTCCCTGCTCTGCAGGAAGCCTGCTTCTTCCTCTCCCACTCCCCCTGCTTGTGTTCCTGCTCTCCTATCTCTCTCTCTGTCAAATAAATAAATTAAAAAAAAAAAAAATTTAAAAACCAGGAAGAATGCTTCATTCTTTCTAAAACCAGCAGCACAGACCAAAAGTGATGCTAGCCCAAACAGAACATCTTAATTAAAACATCTTACCTGACTTGATTCCTTTGATGGGGTAAGTGGCGTGGGCAAGGAAGTTGGGATCACTGAACATATCTTCCTCGTAGACCACAAAGCGCAGAAACGCCAGGTTGGGGTCATAAATTTCAAAGGTCACTTTGTCCTGTGTTGGAGCCCAAACAGGGCTGAGGCCATTGTCATCTGGAAGGAGATCAAGGCTCAGCAGAGGCTCCACTGGTCCTACCCCCTCCTGGTAAAACCACCTCTCTTAGCCCTTGGCTTTTGGAATCTCCTTAGCAGCCCCATAAATATGCATCAAGGCCGAGATCTAAGAAATACTTATTTTTCCAGTAGCAGTCCTGGAAAAGCTGTTGTCACAGGTCTGGCCCTTAGTAAGCAGAGAAAATGCTATGATTGCCATCTCGGTTCCCGGGGCTAGGGCTGGGCTGGGAGAGCGGGGTGCACGGAGGTTTGGAAGAGATCAGAGCAGGGAGCTATACCGCTCCTCTGGACAGGGAAGTGGGTCTGGCTCTCTGAAGAGGTAGAATGGATGAGGGTTCTGGGGTTGTTGGGGTGAACCAGCCTCACGGAGCAAGGGCAACAGCCGCCCGCCCCTGTGAAATGCCAGTTTCACTGGTACACACAAGAGGCAGCCTGGTGCATGACTCCCAGCAGGGGCAGTGTTCCCAGGCCTTAAAACATTGATTGTTTCTTCCTAGCTGCAGGGTCTCCCTCCTCTCGGAGGGATAAAATCGCGCAGGTTAGGCAGCAGCCTGGGGGTCAGCCACACCCTGTGTCTCTGCTGCCTCGCCTTGGACACGGTAGATAAAGCAGGAGGGGGGGGACAAAGAGGACCCCCCCACCCTGGCTTCCTACTACAGGGGGCTGGCCCAAGACTCCAGATGTGAGTGACAGCAAAGAGCAGCACTGGGTACCCGTCCAACTAGTTAATCATGGGGTCTTGTGTTTCCCTCCTCCCCGAGCTGAACTGTAACAAGCACGAGGGATGAAGGAAAAGCCCCGGACGATAAAAGTACACAGAATCCCCCAGAGGATGCAACTTACTCACAACTGTTGTCTTAAACTTGTTGTTGTCATATTCAGCTCCACAAATTTCCACCTCCACAAAGGGACACGCAATACTTCGTCCAAGTTTGGGGAGATGGCGAGCCCCGAGAACCTAGGACACCAAAGGTAAGTACTGGCATTCTCCCCAATGCAGCTTAGAGCTCAGTCTGGGTGCTCAAGTCAGACCACAGGAGGTCCAAGTCGGCCTGACAGCCCTCTGTGGGGACCACCCAACCGCTTCCCTTTTATGGATGGGGAAATAGGGCTGGAAAAGCCAGGATCGGAACCCTGATGCCTCCACACTCATAGACGTCCCCTGCGCACAGACAACCTCCAGAGACAGCCCAGGAAAGGACAGAGGAGAAGGTGGTATTTTTTTTCTTCCTTATATGAGAAATATGATTCAAATCTCCACCTTGCATGGTTTCCAAAAGAGGAGAAAGCCGAACTCTTACAAAGAGACAATACACTGTCTGAAAGTTGGATGCATTTTTAACAATTTTCACCCCCTAAAACTGGCCACCCTGGGGTGCCCTGTATTTCAAATCCTGAAACGGTGACTGGGTGTTGATGGTTTCAACAAGCTGACCTGTGTCATGAAGCCTGAGTTACCTTGACAGACAGAGTCATCAGGATCTTCCTCTGGGACTCTGGGGGCATGGGGTCGTACTTCTCGGACCTCATGCTCTCAGGCTGGAGGACGTAGCCCGTCCGCCCGTTGAGTGAGAACAAGGCGTGATTCATCTGCATGTACTTGTCTGGGAAGGAAAGGGAACTGCAGCTGTAAGAAAAGGTAGCCTCTTGGGCCGGCGGTGCTGGGGGGGGGGGGGTGATTTAAACCTGTTTCCAAAAATAATTTCAGGCAGTTGTTAAATTATGCGTTTCAAAAAAAAAACCCCAACTGGTGAACACCATTCTAAGTATGACACTAAAACCTACTCAATGCTCAAAATTTCTTAAATTTTTTTTTCTGAGAGTTAATTTTAAAATTTCACTTAAGATAGGCTGCACAAAAAAAAAAAAAAAAAAGTTTTAACTCAAATGACAGGGAAAGATCCACAAACGAAAGCGTTCTGATGATGTTGCTATAAATACCTCCGCTCCGAGATGCAGTAAGAAGCATGAACCGTTTGCAGAAAAGAAAATGCTTCCTAAATACATGGGAAACTGGTTCACTTACTCATAAGGGAAGTCCCTGCTGGAAAGGTATATTCGAACGTTTTCCCACTTGGCATTCCCACCCAAGGTCTCTCTGGAAGGCAGTGTGGTGAGGCCTCGGAGCTCAGGCACGACGGGTGCAGGTGTCCAGTGGGACACCTCAGGAAGTTGGCCCAAATGCCAGTGCGGTAGGACTGAGCCTGCACTCTGAGCTCTCGGTCCTGCCCCTGGCCTCCCCCACCCGTGAAGGGTGCTCATGTAAGGTTACAGAGGGCAGGGCCGTCCGTAAGAGCAAACGAGAGCAGCGCCTCGGTGGGGGAGACCTGTTACATAGATTAGGGATCCACTCAATGGAATCCTGCATAGGCTTTAAAAGAACATAAAGGAGATTATTGATCCCCAGACCCATCAACCAAAGAGCACAGCACTGTGATTTATGCTGCAACCACTGGTGTCCAAAAGTTTTGCATGTGGGCTTTTCTCAGCAATGAACATCTCCAGAAGAGTCTGTCCATGAAGCCCTCAAAGAAGGATGGGCCAGGAGAAGAGCTCCCTGAAGACAGCCACCAAACACCTGGATCCAGCTGTGCCTGAAGCTCAGTGCCAACTCCTGGACTTTTCCATTACGTGAGCTCAAGTGCTTCCTTTCTCCCATAAGCCACCCTGCAACGTCTTGGTCACCTGCCATCGCAGAGCCTGACAGATGCAAATGCCCCATGTCCCGCCATCACTCCATTCAATGGCTGGGCCTCATACCAGCATGCTGGGTGAAACCTGACGGCTTCTGGGACAGCCGGTCACACTGGTGGCCCCAGCAGACTGGGCCTGGAGCGATGCCACCAACAGTGCTCCTGTACCTGGAGTCTGGAAATTGAGTGCCACCATCTGGGAGCCGCACAGCCAGAGGCGAAAGGGGTCGTAGTTGGAGGAGTCCACCCTCTGTCCCTTGGGGTAAACACGGGTCAGGCCCTTCTGATTGTATTTCAGGAGGTCGATGGGTTTCTGCCTGACGACACCGTCCGCCTTGGTCTCCACAAAGGAGCGGATTTCTCGGAAGTCGGGGTTTTCTGCACACAGAGAGGGAGACACCATTTACTCCATCTGATGCACTTTCGTAACGCTTGCTGCCCCCGCTGGATGCGCAGGCGGTCAGCTGAAACCAGGAACCTCCGAGCCAAGAGAGCCCAGTGGTTAGGATGCTCTTGCCATAACCACTACGGCTCTGGGCCCTTGCCCTCCGAGGATCCCAGCGTGCCCACTGGCTTTCGCTCTGGGATCAGTGTAATTTACTTCTTGTTTAAAACCACCACCAGGCTTGTGCCCGAAAACACCAGAGTGGTACAGTTACAGAAGGGGACACGGTGGAGGATGGCCAGAGGGATCAGCAGGAGGAGGGGATCCTGTGCAGAAGATGGGTGAACCAGGCACCACGGGGGAGGAACAGTCCACTGCCTGCAGGCAGGGGTGGGAGCAGAGCGGGTACAGGAACGTGCACCTGTGGCGGGCGGCCCCTAACCCTGCTGAGTCCGGTTCTGAGGGACCCGCCGCCCAGTGCCCGGTAACTAGGCTTCAGTGCTGTTTCTCTGGTCGTCCGTCCTGGAATCAGAGATGCTTGAGATCAAAGCAGGAGGCAAAGATGAACAGGATCTTATTAGGGCAAAGAACTTGCTCCTTTGGAGATTGGAGAAGATTCATTTTTGAATCCTTCTATGGCAAGCTCCATGGGCCCCAAAGCCTCGAGGTCCTGCTTCCTGGAGCCTGTGACTGTAACTCATCTGGCAAAGGGACTTTGCGGATCGGATTAAATTAAGGAGCCTGAAAGGGGGAGATTATCTGGGCCCTAAAGGTAGGGTCTGTGTATTAGAGAGGTAGAGGGAGATGTGACCACAGGCCAGGGCATGCCGGCAGCCACTAGAAGAAGCAAGGCCCGGATTCTCTTAGCAGCAATGGGAGACTAATGTGCCTTCTGGGAGTTTTCCTCCTGAAGACCCCAGAAGGGCCCGTTTCAGCTGCACACTTGCCCTAAGGACAAGCCCCACTTAGAGCCAGCCGTGGAAAAGAAACAGGAGTCTCTCACTTCGCTCTCTGACAGCCCCTGACTCCAAAGGAAACCAGGCTTTGCAGGGAAGGTTTGGGGCACAGCCCAGGGAGACCCTACCTAGATTGTCCTTGGTCTTGCTGGTCGGCTTGCAGTAGACCACCAGGTCCGAGAGCTCGATGGCGATGGACTGGTTCTTCTCCCAGTACTTCATGTTGTTCTCCTGTTGGAACCAGTCCCCAGTGTCAGCCCGGAGGCTGGCCTGCATTTTCCTCCCCGGGACCCCCCCCTCCCCACCCCCTTTCGGCCCCCTGCAGGCTCAGATCCTTAATACAGTTGGAAGTGGTCCTTTGTCCTACCCCTCCTCTCCTCCCTTCCGAAATTCCTACGTTGTTTCCACCCAGAACTGGGGGCTAGCTGGGTCCCTGGTCATGGCTCCCAAGAACAGGGGTGGGGGTGAGGGTCCCCTTTGTCAAGAACTGGGGGCTAGCTGGGTCCCTGGGCATGGCTCCCAAGAACAGGGGTGGGGGTGAGGGTCCCCTTTGTCAGCACCCCACTCTCCTCAACCCTCTGCTCTCAGACTCCTGCCCCACCCAGTCCCCTAAAACCACATTGTTCGAGTTCTCCAAGCCCACGACCTCCCAACCTCGTGGGCGCTGCACATCCTTGTTTGAGCCCCCTCATTGCTGCAGGGCGCCTCTGCCCTCACCCATCACAGCTTGTGACTAAAGCTCTCCAGGCCCTCAGCCCCATGCCATTTCCCCTTGGAGGACACACTATGTGATCGATCTCCATCTGTGTAAGGATGAGTGCTTGCTTCCCCCTAAACCAGACCACCGTCTCAGGTTTCCCCAAATTCTGACTCTTTCTTGCCCTGGCCAAGGGGGAGCCTGGAGAGAAAATTACGTGCAAATGATACCCTTCACCATTTACAGGGCTGCTTAGCCTCAGGCCTCACCCACTACATGTGTGATGGATATTACGTAGGGTAGCCCCCATCTCCCCTCAGAGGTAGAATGTGTGCCCATTTTGCAAAGAAACTGCAGTACATGGGCGCCTGAGTGGCTCAGTCGTTAAGCGTCTGCCTTCGGCTCAGGTCATGATCCCAGGGTCCTGGGATCGAGTCCCACATCGGGCTCCCTGCTCGGCGGGAAGCCTGCTTCTCCCTCTCCCACTCCCCCTGCTTGTGTTCCTGCTCTCTCTCTCTCTCTGTCAAATAAATAAATAAAATCTTTAAAAAAAACTGCAGTACACAGAGGCTGAGCAGTGTATCCATGCTCCATGGCAGGCCAGGGACGAGACCAGATAATTCTGCACTGGACCTCACCCTTGTGAACACCTTGCTTTGTCCTTTATACATCATCTCCTGGAGAAGATTCCTCTAAAATGCCCCCAGGATCACATCCTGGGTCCCTCTGAACCACAGCAATGACCTGCTCTCACACCCCCCAAATCATCCTTCCTCTGCCAGTCCATGAGCTCACTCCTGCTCCAGGAAGCCTTCCTGGTTAACTGCAGCCAGGACGAGGAAAGGAATGGGGCCATGCGCCACTCATGCCTAAAGCTGTCCCCACGGAGCCATGTGCAGGTAGCAAGTGTTCAGGGGGACAGCTGGTGATTAGGTGAGAGAGGCTTCCTAACACGTGGTTAGGACAGCAGGAACTCGAATCAGACATCAGCTCAAACGCTGGCCCTCTGTTTACTGGGTGTGCCCACTGGCCACACTGAATAATCTCTCTGTGCTTCAGTTTCCACAACTAGAAAATGAGGCTAACTGGAGTATCCCCCTCCCAGAACCACTGAGATGTAAGCAGGGAGCCCGCTGCACCCTACCAGGCGTGTGGAAGACCACAAATGGTGGCCCCTCAGACCACCCCACACCTGCCTCCCCTAAGGACAAGAGAATTGCATACAACAGGGTGGTGGGACATGTCCCACCACTGCTGAATTGTGGAAATTTGGACTCACAAAGCGCAGAGCTGTGACAAGTCATAGGGTGCCCCCCCCCTTTTTTCCCCCAACCTCAGCAGAAACCAGTGTCTGTTCAAGATGAAAGAGCTCTTCCTCGAAATTGTGTTAACAGTTACTCTCCGGACCCGTAGGTTTAACCCAATGGGCTGTCTCAGAAGTTGAAGTCACAACCCCCTTCACGGGCCAGGCTTTAGGAAACTCACTAGACAGATCTTGGTGACTGGTCTTTTGCCCTCCATGGTCAAGTCACAGAACCCCAAGCAGGGGGTCGGGGACAGACAGGACGATAAGGCCAGGGCCAGGAGCCGGCAGTGAGCTGGGTGTTCATCGTGTTGGTTTCCTAAGGACTGGGGGGCGGGGGGGGGGGGTCTTCCCTGTTCCCACACAGCTCCTTGTACAGCTGGTGCTGCCCAGGGGCGGGATTTGGAATTAGGCGGGTTCTGCTGACCGGTGTTTTCTTAACCTTCACACGTAATAATGAGAATTAGCAGACGTAAAAACCAATTAAAGGAGGAATGTAGATCAGAAGCAGGGAAGCCATGAAGAGCCAGGCTTGATTTCAGAACCCTTCCTGCGGGGGCGAAGAGCCTTCCAGTGAAGTTGCATTTCTCTCTGGTAAGAGTGGTGGTAAGCGCTATGCGGGGTCAGACAGACCCCAAATGATCACTCTACCCTGAGCCTTCTGGAGGTTCCAACTAGCCATAGCCTCTCAGGGGACCGCCCGGGTCCCTTTCCTCTCCATGACTGGCACGCCTATGGCCCAACCCCAGTCCATGTCTTCCCTGTCCTCCCGAGCCAGGACCCCAGCCCCCCACCTCTACAGCATGAGCCCAGCTGAGCCAAGTGCCCACCTTGGTGTCCATCTTCCAGGTGATCTCCCGGATGCTCTGAAACCACTCGAAGAGCTCTTCCACCTTGTCCGTGGCAAACTCCACTGGGGGGTCGCCCTGCTTCTTGGGCTCCAGGATAAACACGAACGGCTTCTGGTTTTTCCCCTGCGGTGCTTTCACTTCGGGAGAGAGAACAGGGAAAGTCCTGAGTGGCCTGGATGTGAAGGCCAGACTTCACGCCGCCCCAGCCACGTCCTGCACAAAACCAGCCCAAATGCAGCAGCTACAGGCCTGGTCCGTGGGGACGGGGGCGTCTGCCTTGTGGCAGGCACGGTCTGGCCTCTCCCCTACCTCACAGCCTGAGAGTGGGCCGAGTTGTGTTCCCTCGGAAGTTCTGTCTGCAACCTAACGCCCGTACCTCTGCAGGTGACCTTACTTGGAAAGAGGATCCTTGCAGATGTCCTTAAGGATCTTGAGAGGAGATCCTTCTGGATTTAGGATTTCCCAATCCAGAGAAAGGAGAGGGAAATTTGAGACACAGACACAAGAAAGACGGCCCCCAAAGACAGAGGCGAACGTTGGAGTGTTGGAACCACAAGCCCAGGAGCGCCAAGGATCTCCAGCAGGCACCAGAAGCTAGGAGACAGGCAGGCGATAGATTCTCTCTGCAGAGAAATTATTTTCTAGAAAGAAAAGGCCACGGGAGGAGAAATTATGTGCTCAATAATATCATTGGCTAAGATCTCTGCGCTCTTGTAGGCCAGGCAATATTTTAAGCAGATCACATGCACTGGATCTCATTTAACCCCTATCACAGCCTTTTAGGGGTACTAATCGTTTTATATGCATGTTACAGGCAAGGGAACAGACTCACTGACGGCAGCCCCCTCCCTGCCTTGGGCGCTTCCAATGCCCAGCGGTGGGGGACGTGGGTGTGAATCCACGCTCCGCCCACGTGTGTACGTACCGACATTGTAAGTGTTGAGATCCAATATTCCCCTACAAAGAGACCCTAAGGGATTGTCTTCAATAATCTGTGAAGAAACAAGACATAACTCACGTTAGTCTTAACAGGAAGAATAAAAAGACAACCAATTTTCCAGGGCACACCGTTTAGCAGAGACACAGCCTGTGGAGCTGTTTAAAATGCATTTTCATTACAGGATACATCCGTGGGGAGAGCACTCAATAACGAAGCGTGTTGCTGATGGGGACCCAGCGGCGAGCAGGTGCCCACAGGTTCAGCGGTTCTTTTTCCAGTTTGTAAAAACAAGCCCTGTGAATTCTAGAACAGGTTCTGAAACACTTCCCATGGATCTGGTTTCAAAAAATAGCCTCGACCTTCATTCTGACATGATGATGAAAAGGGGCCAGCTAGCCTCCTGAAGCCCAGCTCAAGAACCTTCTGTGGCTCCCCATGTCCTAGGGGCATGATGCCCATGCTCTGGGATCGGCCCTGGCCAGCCTTCCCGCTGCACCTGCCACTGCACGTTTGATGCATCCCAGGGCCCGGGTGCGACAGAGAAGATCTTGCTCTCTGGCCAGCTGGCAGAACCACATCTGCTCATTGCGTGTACTACCCCACCCCCACCCCTCCACCAGGGAAATGCTGACTGGGGAGGGGGTTGAGGGGTCGCATCCCTGGCTCTGGCCCAGCACGCTGAACACAGCCACGGTCCCAGCCCCACACCTTTGTTTAGGCTGCACCTCGCGCTGGAATTCTGCCAGCCTTGCTGGTGATCTCTAACTTGACTTCTAAGGCTCAAATGTCCATTACTCCATGCAGTCTTCCCAGATTGCCCCAACTCCCCTAGGAAATTCCTTGGGCTCAAAAAGGCCTTAGAGTCCTCGTTACAGAGAGTCCGTCCTTGGTGCAGGGGGTCACCTACCCGCGGGTGCTCTCTGGGCCTTCTGGGCGAGAGGCAGCGAGGGGACCCAAATCATGTTTGCAATGTCACCAGGAGGGCCGCATTCACGGCCACTTAGGCCCGCCCTGCTTACTCACACCAAGCACGTTCGGGAATGTCTGGTGGCCACACTCAACTTGTTTCATTTGCAAGCTGCTTTAAGCAAAGGACAGATTCCCCATTTGGCCATTTTCACTCCAGAGGGAATTCTCCTGCCTACGCAAAGCCTTCCAGCCCAGCACAACCTGATTAAAACATGACGGGCTTGTCACCGTGACCTTCACCCACAACTGTGGGGACAATCCCAATTTCCCTGTCACTCTGGTGTCCCTGTTCCACTGCTCCACAGGGACCCCACGGCAGCAGCATGTGCAACACAGCCCTGCGGTTTCCTCGAAGAACAGGATGGGCAGGTCTCCCCATGCGGTGACCCGGACTCACCTGCTTCTCCAGCACCTCCACATCGACTGTTGAAATGTCCTCGACGTAATTGGATGGGAAGTACTGCTGGATTCTGGTCCCATAGTCTCCTTTCCACCTAGATGAAAACAGAGGGCATCCAAAGGCCTTCGTGGGGCCGCATTACTGATCCCTCGCCGCTGGTTAGATCCCAGCCGCTGCGGCGGGGGGGGGAGGGGGGAGGCAGCAAGTGGCCAAGTGACGGGAGGGGGTGATCATTATCTGTGACAACCAAGCACTTCCAAGGATCCTCTGCTTTTTTTAACCAGCAATGCGTGAGCGGAGGGTCGGTGTCCTCCCCATAACACGATTCTAATGTTTAGTCAAGGACACCAAGAATTTCAATGCTTTAGGTGGACATCGGAGGCCATTTGAGGCAAAAGCTCAAGTCTAGAGCAGGCTCAACCCCATTTCAAGGAGGGCTGTGAACTTAGAGCTAAGGAAGGTTCTGGAGATAGACAGCCTGGAATCAAATTCCAGCTCCACCACCAACTATAAAATGGGAATAATCCCAGTGCCTCCCTCAGAGGATTGTATTGGGACCAGAGGATTCCGCATATGCTGAGTGTTTTTAACAGTGCCCAGTATACAGTAAGTGCTCAGATAATGTTCTCATTACTCAGCTAAAATACCGCTCCCCTTGACCTTCTTCTCTTCCCTGTAACAGCACTGGTAACAAGAGACATAACTGATCTATGTACATGTCTCAACTCCACCAAGCTGTGGTCACCTCTAAGGTTCTCCCCGCAAGCAGTGCCCAGGCATACGGGCCACTCCCCCCAACTGCCCCCCTGTGGGTACCGTCTGCAGCCAGGGGGCTCTTTCCAGAAAGTATCTCTGACCACGCCACACCCATAGCTCCCAGAGTCTTCAGAATCAAGCGTAGATGCTTTAGCCTGACCCCACGGACTCTTGGACCTTAACACCTGCCCCTCTGCGACTCAAACTTGACCCTCCTCCTAGACAGCCTGTTGCCCCCACCCTTCTGCCCCTGCCGTGCTGCCTAGCTTCCATGCCTTTGTCCATGCCCTTTGTATCTAGCTTGTCCCTACTAACCAGCTGAAACTCAGCTCAGGCATGCCTCTTCCAGGGAGTCTTCCCTGACTGCTACCTAGGCCAAGTGTTCCTCCTCTGTGCCCCTGTGGCATCTGTCCCCACAGCTGGGGAGGCAGTCTGCCTTTTATATAACTTCTACCTCTGTCTTCCCCACTGTGTGAGGCCTTTTCTTGATCTTAATCGAATCAGTACTCAGGGGTGGTGGGAAGCACTTAGTAAATGTTTGCTGACCTGAGTAAGCAGAGTGAGGACCGACTGACCTGTGGCCTGGTGGAAAGAGAGGCCTGGCAGACACCCTCATCCCCTCCGTTTCTCCAGACCCCTTTCAGGCAAAGACTGGCTATATCCGTGGTGACCATATGTACCATTTGCCCAGAATTAACTTCATACCTGTTGTCCAGGTGTAATTATTGACAGTAACATTCCTTTTGCTCTAAAATGCATCCCAGTTTGGACAAGACCAATTCAGTGCCCTAGCCATACGGGCAGCAGGTTGGGAGGACGCCCAAAAAGGTGGACGATGCTCCACTAGATGGTGCTGTTGCCACCAAAGCGAAAGAAACCAGGGGACCTGGGCAGGCAGTTCACCCACAGCCCCTCACCAAAGGCACTTACACCAGACTCTCAGCTCATCTCAAGAGCCCTGGAAATTTAAAGCACCCCACTTCAGACGTGTGGAAAGGCAGGAGGCAGTTTCACACGTGGAAAAGCGTGTGCTTTAAAGAGGTCTACCCACAACTTGGTAAAAGTCACCCACACACACAGCACTGGGGCCTCGACAGAGGCAGGGTACAGGACGGGGCATCATGGGTCCAGGGGACACCCGGATTCTGGCCGTGCCCCTCAGGGAGAGACAGGTGGACACCACCACAGTTGGCAGGCTGAGGCTGGGAGCCTACGAGCAGGAGCTCCAGGCCCCCACCCCCAGCTTCAGCACATCACTCTGTTGTCACTTTTTCTCTTTTGACTCTGGGGATCCAGGTAAGATTTGGATTAGAAAGAGGGCATTCTCAAAAAAACAAATGAACAAACAAAAAACTTCAAAACCCCCGACCATGAGTCAAGTTAGGAGTATGGCCTTTGGAGTCAGAAGGTCTGGCTTCGAATCCCAGCCTGCTGGATGGCCCTGGCCAAGTTACTGTACCTGTCTGTGCCTCAGTTTCCTCATCTGTAAAATGCAGGTAACCTTTCAGGGTCACTGTGTGGGTTTAAGTGAGTTCTTTCAGATGAAGTTTTTAAAATGGTGCTTTTTTTTTTTTTTAAGCTTTTATTTATTTGACAGAGAGAAAGACAGCCAGAGAGGGAACACAAGCAGGAGGAATGGGAGAGGGAGAAGCAGGCTTCCCGCGGAGCAGGGAGCCCAATACGGGGCTCGATCCCAGGACCCTGGGATCATGACCTGAGCTGAGGGCGGACACTTAACAACTGAGCCACCCAGGCGCCCCTAAAATGGTTCTTGACAAAAAGAGGCCCTCTATTCAAGCTGCCATTCAGATCTCTAACTCAAGCCCCGCTATCTTACGGGAGAAAGGGATGCCACATTTGCAAGGTGCTTGTTGCTCTATGGTAAGAAATAATCCTACAGGGACGCCTGGTGGCTCAGTCGTTAAGCGTCTGCCTTCGGCTCGGGTCAGGATCCCAGGGTCCTGGGATCGAGCGCCGCATTGGGCTCCCTGCTCAGCGTGAAGCCTGCTTCTCCCTCTCCCGCTCCCCCTGCTTGTGTTCCCTCTCTCGCTGTGTCTCTCTCTGTCAAATAGATAGATAAATTCTTTAAAAAAAAAAACAAAAACGAAAGAATCCTACAAGACCACCTACCCGGGGACTTATGGATGGGCAGCGAAACTTTTTCCCAGGTGGAGAGGGAAAAGAGGTAGCTGATCGCTGGCATATACCCAGGGAGCTCTGGCCTAATGATGTCCCTGCTTCCATCCAGGGTAGGGCCACTGCACAGGACCAAGCAATAGCTTAAGAATTTGAATTTACAGTAACACACAGGCTCACATAATGGGAAGAGCCCGCAATAGTTCATAGCTATACAACCTAGGAAAGCCCCCTTTGCCACCTCTGTAAAGTGGGGGTACCCACAGTCAACCCCAAGAGTCATACCAAGAATCTGGAGAGACCACATATGAAAGCAATCACCACAGCCCTCAGCACCGGGGAAGGCCTCAGTAAGTGATAACTTCTGCTATAACTAAAATAAAACTTAATATGATGCGATAAATGGTTCTTAACGCTTTTCTGAATAGAGCAGGTCTTAAGCCACCTTCCCAGAGAAGGTACAAAGGTCAAAGCCAGCCCGGAACGACAGAGAAAGGGGGTCCAGAGCTCAGCCAGCACCTGAACCTCACCTGCAAGAAGGGATAAGTCAAGTTCATCCAGCAAGCGGCCCAGCCCCTCTCAGCCTTACCAGCCCCAGGGCTCCTTGGAGACGTTGTGAATGAGGGCCCCACGGCAGAAGCTCAGCTCATCGCTTCGCTTGGCTTTGTAGTCATACAGAGCTTTCACGGTTCTCTGAGGCTTTCAGGGAAAACAAGAAGGAGAAGGTCAGGCTGGGAGACAGAAGCAGAGAGGCATCTGCCTTGGGTCTCATTAGGAAACAGGATGCTTAAGCCCGAGGTTACAGCGCCATCTGCTGGCAGAGGGCGGGCACTGCATTGCAAAAGAGCCGCCAAAATCACCAGGGAGAGGGGATGCGGACTGGCCCAAGGTCAACCAGCTGTTAAAAGTGGCTGAGCTCAGAAATCAATCAGTTAATGTGAGCTATTGCCATAGTTCATGATGTTCTGTAGGAAGCAATGTGGGTTCTAGAAGCTCTGCCATAAGAACTTCCAACCAGAGCTGGCTTTATCTGTGCCTCTCCCTTCAAGGGTGGATACATCTTTCCCCCATGAACTTCACGGGTCACTGCCAGGCTCCAAGGCTGCAAGGTACAGCCAGTGGCAAAGGGAGGTGCCATACAATGGCTTCCATGAGGAGCAAGTCTCCAGCCTGACAGAGGGCAGCAGAGGTCCTAATGTCAGGTCCTTCGTTAACTAGAGAAACGAGCCATCCATCGGATGCCCAGGCTGGCAGGCGGCACAACAAAGTGACGAACAGCACATGCCTCCAAGCCTGATGGCCCGGGTGCAAATTCCAGCTCCATACCTTCCTGGCTGTGCAGTGGGCATAGAAACAGCACGCCACACATGGGGCTGCTGAGCATTAGTGAGCTACCAAGTGCTTCGGACAATGCTTGCTATGTGGCCATCCATATGCCCGTTAGGACCGATCTGGTCATTCCAGTTCCAAGAACGCACGCGAAGGAAATAATGCAGAAGATGCCCAATGCCTCACATGTGAAGTTCATTTTAACGTTACCCAGAACAGCAAAGACCAGAAATGACCCACATGGCCACTGACGGGGACGCAGCTAACCTAACAGACACCCAGAATATTCTGCAACGTTAAAAAATTCTTTTTGTAAAAGTTAAAATTGCAATCCCTGTGTTTCATCTGAATTACTTGGCTCACCAGTTTTAGTAAGAATGGTCATGAAGAAAATGAGCAATGGAGAAACCCACACAGGACCAAGGGGCAGGTGAACAGAACACAAATGGCAGGTGTGCGGGGGCGGGGGGGGGGGCCTGCAAAATGCGTCTCCGTGCAGGCAAAGGCCCAGGAACGCAGAGAGCGACTGAGTTCGCACGGTGAGACCAGGGCTAATTATCGGTCTTGTTTTCAAAGTGGTGTTTTTTATTGTTAAACCATTTTCAATCACCGTAATAGCAATGATTTTATTTTTGAGGCGCTCCCCCTAGTCTGGCAGCTTGTGATCACGTTCAGCTACCATCGTGTTTCACTTGTCTCACTTAGTACAGGAAGATTTTCTCTACAACTTGGGTTGGTTGCCAGGATTTAAAAATGGGGGAGAATTCACGTAAAATATCCAGATCATTGGCTTGCAAAACCAGGAGACCTGGCCTGCTCTCTGGAAAGGTAGCAACTGAGTGCGAACAGGGCATAGCTGTCCTCAAGATGGGGTGTGAGTTCCTCAGTTTACCACAGTGTCCACCACCTGACATCCGGCTGATAGGTGGCCATGTCATCCTCACTACCGACGCCTTCTTCACTTCTAATCAAAGTTCCCTAATAATTTCACACACACTCTCCCCTTGCCCACATCCTTCCAAGCCTTCATTTCTTGCTGGAAGGGATTTGCATTGGCTGAGGATTATAAATCTAAAAGAAGAGAAGAAATTCATCTCTGGATTTCCACAGAGCCCGTCAGCAGGGCCCCTTCCTTAGCAAGAATTATACATGAACTGTGTGCCAGGTGCACCCCACCCCTGACCCAACAGAAAATTCGCCGTTGTTCTTCCTCTGCGGTCTGACCACCGTGTGAGCTGGAACCAGAGCAAGGAGGAGCTGGGGGCGAAAATTTAAAACCCACGCCCACCTGCGTGAAATCACACCACCAGCCAGGGTGGGAACAGGAGATAAGGTGCACACTGCAAATGGGTCAGTGAACCAAACGGAATTTATAAACACCACGGGCTCAGTCAGTGAGCCAGAAACATCTGAAAGACTTTAAATTAGAAGCCGTTTGGCCCAAAGGTGGTTCATCAAACCTCAGAATTTTAGCGCGACACCGTCGCTTTTAGGTGGAATTCTATTAAGCTCTTCCCTGAAACCCGATGTCTCATTGTCAATCATCATTTTTTCTCAAAAAAATAAAACCAATTGGGAGGGGGCAAGTTTGCCCAAAAGTTGCCTTGCCCTGTTAGGCTGGGGGGCGTGGGGTGGACTCTGCCTCGTTCTAGGGCCCGGGGCGTGGTGTGAATAGGAGGGCGAGCACCGTACCATGGAAGGGTTGATTTCACTGGGATCCACATACATTCTGCTGACGTCGTACAAAGAGTTTATGTCTCTTTCCTGAAAAAGAACAAAGCGAAATAAATGGAAGCATCGGAGTTCCTGGGGCAGCCTGACAGAGAACAAGGGATCTCGGCCACCCCCGCGCCGAAGAGGTGAAAGCTCCCAGTTTCGTCGTGCCTCCTGGTAGAGACGGTAAAAAGCTCCCCCCAAATCGGAAACTGCACCCCCAAAGGAGAGAGGCCCCTGTGCCGGCCTACGCTGTGCCAGGCACTGCAGTCCTTTGTGAAAACCCAAGCCCGGGGAGCAGTGCGTGCGGGAGCTCCCCGCTCGCGCCGTATGCCTCTCCCTGACCCACGTTCCATGTCCGCGGCGGAACACGGGCCCCCGCCTCCAAGGATCTGCACCATGGAAACTGGCAAATGCCATAAACCCGGACACGTCACACATCTACCGGCTCACACTGAAGACCCACCCTGCCCTGTCTGCTCTGTCCCTGTCTCTCCGAGTCCCCTCCGGGCTTGTGCCACAGCCGCTCCCTGACCTAGAACCGGCTTCCCCCACAGCTGCCCAGCCCCCACTGGTCCCTGCTGTCAGGCCTGGGCTCCCGTGCTCACCCTCCTCTGACCTTCTCCGACAGCTCCTAAGCTGTAGTCCTAAGCAGCACCCACCCTTGTTCTGTTGGCTTCTCTGTCATCCTCACTGCCCGGGACAGCTTCTTTATGTGACTGCAAGCTGTCTAGCTCCCCCGTCCAGAACCAAAATGTCCCAAGGCAGGCTTTGGTCCACCACACTGCCAGGAGCCACAATCATTCCTGGCCCATGGTTGGTGTATCCTGAATCTCTTTTCAATACATCGATGAACTAGGACGCCTGGGTGGCTCAGTCGGTTAAGCGTCTGCCTTCAGCTCAGGTCATGATCCCAGGGTCCTGGGATCGAGCCCCACATCGGGCTCCCTGCTCCAAGGGGAGTCTGCTTCTCCCTCTGCCTACCGCTCCCCCTGCTTGTGTTCTCTTGCTCTCTCAAATAAATAAATGAAATCTTAAAAAAAAAAAATCAATGAACCCATGTGACAGGGGCAGAGATAAGGTCTGTTCTCCGCTCAGAACCGTCCAGTGGCTCAGAATAAAAGCCAGCGTCTCCCAGGGGCCTGCCCTGCACAAAGCAGTCCTTACTTACATCTACCTCAACTCTGGCTCACTCAGTGCCGGCCACACCAGCTGCTTCTCTGAGCCTCCAGGCATGCCCTCACCTCAGGACCTTTGTACTTGCTGTTCTTCCTGTCCGTAGCTGCACGGCACATTCTTCCATGAACTCTAGCGTCTGCTCAAATACCTCCTTCTCAGTGAGATCTTTCCAGAGCACGCTCGAGAACTGTAGCCCCTTCCCCATCACTGCATCCACATCTCCACCTGCCCAGTTTTTTCTCTATAGTACGTGTCACCCTCTGACACACGATCTGTTTTTTTTTAATTTATGTCCTTTATTATCTGTCTCCCCTACACTAGACTGCAAGCAGCATGAGGGTGGGCTCTTTGTCCCCAGGACTCAAAGCAGTACTGGACACATGGTGAGTGCTCAATAAAGGTTTGCTGGAAGAACGGACAGATGAATGATACTCCCCCAATCGCGAGCGAGTCAACCACCTACCATATTGTAGCGCTCCAGGAGCTCAGGCGTCACGGGGTAGCGCAGTCGCATCTTCCGGTAGAGCGCGTGTTTCTCATAATAGCTGACGAGCTCCACGAGGCTCTCGAAGTAGGCAGAGGTCCCCAGCACAAAGTGCCGGCCATCCCGGTGGATGCGGCAATGCTTTACCTTGCCCCTGGCCCTGGAGGGGGGCAGATCACACAGAGTTGGCAACCGAAATCCCAGAAACCAGACAGTTGTTCTACAAGCCCCGCTAATTAGAAACCACCTAGCTCTCCATCGTGAGGGGACCAGATAAATGAACAAGGGATGGCCCTCCTGGGGAATACAGTGATGCGGGTTTTTTCAACACAGATACAGAAAAAGCTGTATCTTGCAAGAAGTACGGAGTGACGGGCGCCTGGGTGGCTCAGTCGGTTAAGCGACTGCCTTTGGCTCATGTCATGATCCCAGGGTCCTGGGATCAAGTCCCACATCGGGCTCCCTGCTCCGCGGGGAGCCTGCTTCTCCCTCTCCCCCTCCCCCTGCTTGTGTTCCCTCTCTCGCTGTGTCTCTGTCAAATAAATAAATAAAATCTTAAAAAAACAAAACTAAAAAAAAAGAAGTACGGAGTGACTCAACAGCTGGCTTCTCTTGTCTGCCCACTCCGCCCGGCCCCAGTTACAGGACTTGACTTTGGGAAGGTCCTGGTGTCCAGATCAGGGTCAGCAAACAATGGCCCAAAGGCCAAATGTGGCCCCCGCCCTCGCTTTTGTAAATAAAGTTTTATTGAAACACAGCCACGTTCATCCACTTCCGTGTTGCCCGCGGCTGCTTTCACCCTACAGAGGCAGATGCTGAGTTGCTACAACAGAGGCCACAGGGCTCGCCAGGCCTGTGATATTTACCCTCTGGTCCTTTACAGGAAATGTTTGCTCATCTCTACTCCAGAACTCTGGGATTTGATGCCCAAATCCGTAAATCTTATCTTCAGTGGCCCAACTACTACAACCATGAATTTTTTTTTTTTTTCCAAAAAGCAAACCAATCTTTTATTGCCTCACCCTGCTGACACAAGAGGTGGGAAAACCCCCCCCAAAAACCCCACAATCTTCAGTCTTACTAGCTTTTATCAGCAAGAACAGAAACATTTGGGAAATTAAGCTTTGACCCTACCTTTACAGCCAAAAAGCATCTTCGTAAACTGTCTCAAGGCATAATTACAGTGAACTACTCGTCTTTTAAAAATTTTACACGTTGGAGGGGTGCCTGGGTGGATCAGTCGGTTAAGGTCGTGAGATGGAGCCCTGTGTTGGGGTCCTGTGCTGGGCGTGGAGCCTGCTTGGGATTTTCTCTCTCCCTCCTCTGCCCACCCCGCCACCCCCCGCCAAGCTTGTGCTCTGTCTCTCAAATAAATAAATACACATATTTTGCACCATAAAGACACTTTTTGTTTTAAAAAACACATACTGTTAAGCCATTTCTTCAGTAAGTCCTGTAAAAGTGCTAAAAGATTTCTGCTTCAGTGGCTTATTTGCAGTGATATTTCATTAGTATTTCTTTAAAAAAAAAACAAAAACAAAAAACACTGCTGAGCAGACAAGTTGCAAGATAAAATATAGTATGATCTCATTTGTATTTTTTAAAATTAAACGTTTAAAAAAGGGGAATCCCCACACACAAAATGGCACTGTATTTTCTATAGGTACATATACATGGAGGTCATTTTGGGTTTTTTGGTTTTTTGTTTGTTCGTTTGTTTGTTTGTTTGTTTTGGAGTCCACATGGAGACACCAGTTAGAAAACTGTGCTTTCCACCAGAACAAGGACCCAGATGGGAAGGACCACAGGGGGCTTAGCTTTACTGTGATGTCTTAATTTTTTCTAAGAATATATTCACGTAATTAAGAAATTTTAAACTTTTTACAAAAGCTCCCTAGGGCAGGGAGGCTCTAGGGCATGGAGGTTAGTTAAGAGTGGGGGTCAGGTTCCAGTTCCTTCTGGTAGCCTGACTGCACCTCTGTCTCCTTGTCCACAGTGCCGGGGATGGACCGTTCCTGTGTCAAGGCAAGTGTTAACACCGCCATCTGACAGCCCAGGGTAAGCCCTCTGCAATGTGTCCGGCACCCCGAGGGTAACCCATACATGAATGGCTAGGAAAACAGAATCAAGGTCAAGCCAAAACGAGCTTCCCTGGCGAGGGAAGAATCAAGAAGGGAGGCAGAACAGGGCTAAGCATGAATCGCACCTTCCAGCCCCCTGGCTGCTACACGCCAGTGGATGCTGTGACCTGAGGTCCTACTCAGCTCTGCCAAGAAGCCCCTGCTCCCATGTCCCACTGAGGTCCACTTCCCACTGATCACACCTAGACAGCAGCTTCATCTCTTCGCATAGACTTGAAAGCAGACACCTGTCCTCTCCTGTAGGGATCTATCCAGTTCAGTCTGTGTTCTCAGAGCCTAGAACACCACCTGGCACAGGAGAGGTGATATTGGGGAGGCGGGGCGAGGGAGGGAGGGAAAGTTCCTGCAGACCTGTGTTCTCCCTCTGCCTGGAGCACATCCCCACCTGGTCCCCCTAGAACCCCTGCTCACCCTCTGTCACCTGCCCGACCTCTCTCTGTGGCACTTACTGCACAACATTATAGCGATGCGTTTATGTGTCTCACTCTCTTGCCCCAGGCAACACTTCTCAGTGAGGGAGAGTGACACCCACCCCACACCCTGACCATAGTGGGTTAGAAAGAGTCTGTGTGTCCAGGCCGGGGGGGCGGGGGGGCTCATCTTTGACTATTACAGTGGCCGCGCCCCCAACAGGCATGCAGTGGGTGGAGACCAGGGACGTTCACCATCCCAACACAGTGGAAACAGCCCTCCCCTCCTCTCCTCCTAGAGACTCCAGGACCTCGTCACTGGCTCGTTCAGCCGGCAGGTCCTGACCACCTGCCGTTGGCGAGGCAACGCTAAGCAGGAGGGAACTGCTCCAGAGAACACGCGAGTAACGGGACATTTCTCATTCTCGTTCTCAGCCAACTGTTGGCCTCATGAGCGCAAAGACTGGGCGGTTTGTATCACTTCAGTGTTTCTGGAGCCCAGCACAGAGCCTGGCACATAGTAGGTGCTCAATGAACATTTACTGATCCCTAAAAATATATAAACTCCAGCTTTTAGGGTACCACCAATCTCACGGGAAGGGCAGATGTGCAAACAGAATGGTGGACGTATAAAATCAAGCCTCCATCTGGGGATCCCATCTTCCTCCACATGGTTCCAGTGAAGTGATTCCAACCCATGGCCAGCTTGAAGGTCCCCAGTCAGAACCATGACACCCAGCTCAGGCCAGGCCAGGGGGAACGGATGTATCACAGGACTCGTCTTTTCTACTAGACACTGGTTCTCAAGGTGAAGCCAATGCGGAGTAGCTCCAGGACACACAGAACCAGTCTCCCGAGGACTGCCAGCTGAGACGTGGATCCAGGCCTGCTGGAAGCCAGCTTCGCCTCTTGAGCGTCTCAGCAAGTAACCAATAAATGCCACCTTTTTTGGCTGCATGGCCACTGAGTTTGGTTTCTGTCACTCGCACCCCAAAGCACCCTGAATGACAGGACTGCAGCACAACTCAATCCCCGACACCCAACATACTGGCTGGTACAACAGATATTCACTAAACATGCCCAGTCCCATCTGGGTGGCGGAGGCGCCACCGGGAGCTTCGGGGCAAAGGGCAAGGCGCCGAAGCCAAGGAGCCCAGAGCCTCCCTGTTGGCAGCACAAAGCACAGAGGAGCCCCGCGGCCTGGAGCCGACACACAGCAGATGCTCAGTAAACGGCAACGATAATCACCATCACCGCCACCACCCACTCACCCAAGAAGGCAGGAATGACGGGGGAAGAAGGGGGCGGCCCGGTAGGGTCGCCAAGGGGATGGGCCAGGGCAAGAGCAACGGAAGGAACAGGAGCAGCCTGGGTGTACCAGGGCCCCTATAGTGCAGCCGGTCACCATCATCACCACATGGGAATGTGGGTCCGGAGCTTCCACCTCTTCCCACTTCTCCTAAGAAGAAATCTAAATTTTCAAGTGAAATTCCCCAGTATTTAACATAACCATGCAGGCTGAGGCTCAGTTTAGCCCGTAAGCCTCTTCAGACCTCACCAAGAGAGCAGGCTTTGAACATGGATAAGTCCAAGTCTGCAATTCTGCCTCAGCCCAGGACTAGGCTGTGTGGCTCTAGACAGGTCGCTTAACCTCTCTGGGCCTCCATTACTTGTAGTACCTCACCTACCCCCCTCATGGGCTGCAACGAAGGACTCAGGCAGATGAAGCCCCAAGATCAGCCCAGGGTCTGGAACGTTAGTTAGGAACTCAATACACTGGGGCAGGGGAGATGGAGGGACAGTGTAATGAACTGGGTCTGAAACCCCCCCCAACACTGTCACTGGTGGAAACCAGAGGAATCAGGGGTCTTGGGGTGGAATTAAAGTAGAGAACCACAGTCCTAGAGATGGTTGGTCCATACGGCCTTCCCACTGCCAAGGCCGGGTGGCAAGGGCAGAGGGGAGGAAAGCTGGTCTGTCACATCACTGCTCTGGGCTACTGGGGCTGCCTGGGTGCAAATCCCAGCTCCACCACTTACTGGCTGCACGTGTCAGCAAGTTACTTAACCTCTCTGTGCCTCGGTTTCCTCCTCTGAACAGTAAGGATCATGGTCGTAAAGTTGCTGGAAGACAGAATGAGTCCGCAGCCAGGTGCTACTCTCAAGGGCGCAGACCCGGGCCCCACGCCCTGACAGCTCCCGTTAGCGGCTCCTGCTCTCCACCCTGTCCTTCCCAGGCCTCCCCTGGCGAGCGAGAGCCGGCCCCCACCTGCCCGCTCACCTGAAGGTGATGGCGTAGGAGTCGGTGCCCTCCCGCCTCCGGATGAGGAAGGCGCCGTCCCGGGGAACCCTCATCAGCATGTCCTCTGCTTCCCCGCGGCTCAGCCCGTCATAGTACCACCTGCAGCACGGGGACACGGCCACGTGAGAGAGCCACCCACGGAGGGGGCGGCACTGGGCTCTGAGGACACCTGGAATATGACCCCAGAAACCACCATGGAACTTGCACCGTGGGCTTCCCCACCCAACAACGCCGCTGAAGACAGCAATTTTTTTAGGAGACCACCAAGATGTAGCTCGGGTAAAACATGCCTACAGTAGGTCTGCTTAGAGCACGAGAGAATAAATTTAACTTAACTATATCCTCCCACCCCATCAGCCTGACTCAGGGCCAGCATCCATCACCGCAGAGAACAGAAAATCGGAGGCAGAGAACACAGGGAACAGAGTTTTAGGAAGGTCTTTTGGTCTGGCTGGTCTTTGGTTACTTTCAAAGATATGAAATAGCAAATTTTAAAAGGCAATCCATACGAATATAGACAAAAGTAAGAAAGCTGCTATAAGTTACAAGGCCTCTCAGTAATGTACATTTTAGCAGGCTTGTGCTTAAAAAGAGCTCCCCCCGCCCCACCACTTATTTCCAGAATTGGTTAACCCTTTGCAAGGCATAACTAATATTCATTTCACTGGATAAAAAATGAAGGGTAAATGTGTCCAGTTACTTTCCTTCTTGTTCACTTTCAGAGTGAACAGGAATGAGCTTTGACAAGCAGAATGACATCACCCGGCCAAAATTCACCTCCAAAAATCATCACCCGAGAGCTCAGGACTGTGAAGGTAAAGGAGAAGAAGGGCAGGGAGAGGCCGAGGGAAAGAGAAAATAGGGGGAGTAGGTGATTGGAAACTGGGGCCATCCTGGGGAATTTAAGAGATCCCGGGGGACCTGGGTGAGGGGCCTCGTGGGAAGCTGGGCCCCAGCACACCCACAAGACTGGCTTTTCTGACTGGGAAACCCACTCCGCCTGGGCGTCTGCACCCACTAAACCTGGCGCTTGAGGTCTGCTGCCCTGGGAGCACGGGCGCACGTACGGCTTTGACTCGTGGGGGTTGGGGTTGGGCACAGGGTCGGTGAGCCGAAGCTCGAACTCCGTGCAGCGCAGGTGCGTCTCCCGGTAGTGCTGGATGAGGGCATACATGCTGGTGAACATGATGTTGTCAGTCAGGAAGTACTTCATGGTCCCACCCTCCATGGTGGAACGGATCCGGCAGTGCTGGACCCGGCCAGACCGCCTGTAGGGAGACAGACAACATTAGCACCGAGGCCGGGCCCACCGGCCCTGCCTACACCCAGGGTGTCAGAGAACGTGGCGAGGGAGGGAAGGGCGGGTGGCCAGGACTGCGGCCAGGGGCACTGATGGGGAGGCACTATGTGCGGCCACACAGGCCTCCCTCTGCTCTTAGAACAGGCTTGGGCTTTAGCGCCTGGCTTCCAGAACATTCTACCTACTTCGTCCACCTACTTTTACCTACATAACTCCTAACTCTGGAGCCAGATGGCCTAGGTGTAAATCCTGACTCAGCCAGTTATGTGCTAAGTGACCTTGAACAAGTGACTTGTCCTCTCTGAGCCTCCACATCATCATCCTTATGGTCTGTCCTCGCTAAGCTGTCCTGAGGACTGAACAAGGTCACACACAAAATGTGCCTAGAATGCTGCCTGGCACATGGGAAGCATCTTGTAGGTGTGAGCGGTCACTATTATAGGTATGTTGTTATAATGTGTCTCCATGGAAACACCACTTCTTGCACGAAGTCTTCCCTGACCACTCCGGCCCCCAACATTACATCAAGTCCTGCTCTTACGGACTTCTGTAACATTTAGCATTTTTTGCATTGCACGTATCACAACTATAATTATAGCGAATCGATTCCTTTTTCATTGTCTAATTCCCTGACCAGACTGTAATCTCCATCAGGACAGGGATCCTGTCTGTCTTATCGTTGTGCCCAGCACAGAGCAATCACTCAATGAATACCCTTTAGTGAATGAAGGTACTAATGAGTGAGTGAGTGAGAAAGCTCACAACAGCCCCATAAAGCAACCTTTAGAATCTCTATTTTAGGAACAAGGAAACAGAGATTGCAGGAGGTTGAGTGACTTACCCAAGGGCACCCCACCTGCTCTAGAGCCAGGACTGGAGGGTTGGGGGTGTGTGAGGCCACACTGTCCTTAGTGCAGGGTCAGATCCTGTCTTTACTTAAAATGTTGATGATACTGTGTTCATCACGGATTTTTCATTACTTCTGATTTTTAAAAAATACTGCATTGAAATACCACTAATCTTGATTGCTAAGTGTCCTGGGCCACCCCTGCCCCGCACAGATTCCTAAATGAAGCTTGGGGTTCTGGTCTAGGCCTGAGCTCGCACAACTCACAGCATGCTCTCCCCCACTCCGCCCCCGCTGCCCCGGCTAGCTGCGAGGGGAAGGCGGCATGCCCCTACCAGAAGGACAGGGTGTAGTCATTGGGGAAGGTCTTGCTCTCCCGCACCAGGAAGGTCCCATCCTTGCCCCCCGTCTCCGCACAATATTCCTGCAGCAGCTTCTCGGCACTCGTCCTCTTCTCTACCTTCTTGTGGAACCACTCCTCCCCAAAATGCAGCTCCGTGGGGGGTGTATCCTGGGCCACAAAGAGAGGAGCAGTTTCTGAAAACCTGGCTCAGGACTGGAGAGCAGACAGGCCGGCTTCAGCTTGCCCTCACCCCAAGAGGTCTGGGAAGACGGCTTCCACTGCCCTCCTTTGCCTGCCACCATGGGTGGTGGCCTCCTGGAGCCCTAAGACATGGGCTAAGGGGTCCCTGGTACAGGTTTCAACTCTACTGCACAAGGAATCTGAGAGCGATAATGCCCAGGGCGCTGCACTCAAGAAACAGCACCAAGGATGGCCAGGAGCTGGAGGGGAGAGGGCAGGAAAGCTGGGAATGAGGCTGGAGGTGGGGCTGGACAGAGCATCCAAAGGTCCTCCCCTCCCACTCAGAGCACAGGCCCATCAGGCCCTTCAGGGAGCAGGGAAGAACCGCTTGAATCTCATTGGTTGCCGAGCCAGCCAATCAGAAAAGAGCCAGGCAGACCTGGGTACCAAAGAGGCAGCTCCTTGGGCTGAGGATGTTGGGGCCTGGGGGCCATGGGAGCGAGGACAGGTTGGGAGGCTGTGTCCCCTACCTGGGGCAGCTCCTCTTCTGCAGTCTGTTCAATATCGTCACTGAACGACAGCTTGGCGTTAGCGATGGCACAGTAGTGCCGAGTCCATTTCTAGAAAGGGAAACCAGCATTAGCTCTGCCCTCAGCCTCTGCCCCATCAAGTCTGGGGCCCCGCCCAGCATGACGCCAGGATTTACGAGGGATGCACCTTTCCCGCTTTTCTTGGACATTTACGGTGGTTCCATGGAATTCCATCCCCTTCAAGACGTTTCTTTTAAGACATCTATTTTTGGGTTCTTTGGGCATTTTCAGGACTTTTTAAATTCACTGTGTCTAAGGGTTGATACAACTTAGTATCAAATTTCTAGTTCATGTTTATTTAATGTGAAGCCTTTTATGAATGATGGGATTGTCTTTTGGGTCTCGTGACTGTCTTTTTCTATTACCTCCACTTTTTATGACTTTCAAGATTCCTCAGCCCGTTTGTCTAGCGACTCTTCAATGTCTGTGACTTAATCCTTTATTTAAGCATTAACAATTTTTAGTATTTCTAGGATGTAAGGACAGAGATATCAAAATATATGCAAATGGATTTGTATGTTAGGTTAAGGGACGTGAGAAGTGGCATTAGCATTCACAATGCATCCCTCTCACCAAAATAAGGGTTCTGCGGGAACTGTGCCAGATTGAAGAGCACTAAGGAGTTAGGACAACCAAATACACTGTCACATCCTGGATTGAACCCTGGACCAAAAAAAGGACATCAGGAGACCAACTGGTAAAACTGAAATAAGGTCCATGAATTAATTAGTGGTACTGCACCAATGTTCATTTCCTGCTTCCAATAATTATACTCTGGTTAAGGAGGACGTTAGTATTGGGGGAAGCTGACTGAAGGGTATGTAAAAATTCTTTGTGTGTGTGCATGTAAATGCATAGTATGTTATGTGGAATATAAAGTAATTTCAAAGTAAAATAATAATGCAAAAAAAAAAAAGGTCAAAATGGGAGTAAGATAGGAATATTCTCAGAGTTCTCTAGTAGGCCTCAGATGCACTCAAGGCTCTGAGAAGGGGTACAAGGAGACCCACCTGGTCAATGGAATCCCACATGTACAGTTCACCCTGTTGCTTGTGCTCATCTTTCTTGTCCTCCATGTCGACATCCACGTCGCCTCGGGGGCCCAGCTTCTTATGCTGAGGGGAAAAAATACACATAGCCTGTCTCCTTCAAGACCCCAGTTTAGGATCTTTGAGCCAGCAAGCATTCATCCACATCAGCCAGCCAGCCAGCATCTATCTGCAGCATCTACCTCAGGGCCTTTGCACTGCCCGTTCTCGCTGCCTGGTTTCTCTCTCACTACATTCAGCTCTCTGCTCAGTGTCACCTCCTCAGATGAGCTTTCCCCGACTACTTGATCTAAAAATAGCCTCCACTCCCCTTTCCACCCCTGTCACTCTCTGGCCCCTGGGACTTATTTTTCCATATTCTTGGCCCTTTGTGTATCTATGTGTCTATCTGTATTCTGTCTTCCCTGCCAAAAAATATAAGCCCCATCAGGGCAGGACTTTGTGCTGTCCCCTGTTGAATCTCCTGTGGCAGTTCAGCAAATAGGAAGTGCTCAATAAACATTCAATGTATCAGCAATACCACCCGCATGCCCCACATTCTCTGGCACACACAGGGAAAGGCAGGAACAGCCGTCCGGGAGCCCAGACTGCAGGGCAGTGGACTGCACACTGGGGATGCAGAATTAAGTTGCTTTATCAGCTGTGTGACCCTGGGCAGGAGGCTGCACTTCTCTGGGCCTCACAGTTCTCATCAGTGAGACTAAGACAGCGACTACAACAACCTACATCCAGGTGAGTACTGACGCCCACCCAGGCCAGTATTTGTAAACCCTTGATTCTGGTGGCCCGGTGGAGGGAGCTCAGGATTGGGAGTCTGTCCGGGGCTGGAGTGTGGGGCCTTACTCGCTGTGACAACTAGTCTCAGTCTCAGTCATTTCCTCTGTGAAATGGGGTTAACGACAGCCCCTGCTGCGTCCTGTCAGCCCATGGGCGTGAAAGACACCTGTCAACACTGAGGCATGATGTATTTCATTTTGAATGGCCTTGAATTACTTCTTGGGCAGGAACTAACCACAACCTCAGCTAAGCCACCTTCTAGACCTCAAGGTCCCCAACTGGAAAGTGGGCATGGGGCCTGGGACTTGCCACCTCTCAGGGCTGTAGGAGACTGGATAGTATTTAGTGTCACACCTAGCCAGGCTCACAAATGCTATTCCTGCCCTCTTTCCTGAAACAGGAGTGAGCCAAGAAGTACCACTGGGAGGCAATGGGTGCTCTGACCAGGGCTGTAACTACGTCACACCCTAAAACAAGAGCCAGAAAATCTCTGGGGACACACAGAGAACAGTCCCAAGAAAGCGAAGCTACAGAGAAATGCAGACTCACTGACCTAATGCCTGAGAAGCTGTAGACCCTCCCAAGCCGAGCTCCTTCGGCTTCTAGTCCTGCCTTCCCCAGGCTGGAAGTTTCCCTTGGTGTCTCAGGGAGAAGTGCCCCAGGGTCTTAGTCAAATCCTGCAGATAGGCTGGTGCTTTTACCCTGAGGGCACCAACACCCCATCCTCTGGATGAACCTCTGAGAAAGCCCCCTCACGCCATTTGGCACATCTCTGTTGACAGGTCTGTCTCCCCACTAGACCATGACCTCCTGGCACACAGGGATTATACCCAGTGCATCTTGATGGCTCAGTGACAATCTAGGGAATGTGCCCTGCGTTCACACCACCACACGTTTATGGATGTTATTCCCCCAACCTGAGAGCACTGCCCCCTCTCTGCCTAATAAACACCTGTCCACTCTTCCATATGAACCTGCTACTTGTCAACAAAATCCATCCCACTCCTTCTACCAATGGCCACCAACTGGAGACTTCATGTTCAGCCCCCTTTGTGGGAGATGTGGTCATGTGACAGTTCTCACACACAGGACAGGCTGGGAAATACCAAACTGACATCCTGCTTATTTGCAGAAATTGCGGACCTTGGACACACTCACGTTGCCCTTTCTATGGGCTGGAGCTCAGATGAGTCTACAACCCAACATCACCCCCCCCCCCCAGGGCAGAGTCCACCCAGTTTCTGTACCAGGGACCTCCTTCAAAGGTGGTGAAGACGATGGACCCCTTTCTCAGAACAACATTGACAATGCATAGAATAAGAAAAACTACACTAAAATACAGTTATTAACATATCAAATATTTATAATATAAATAGATGTGCTTCCTTACTAACTTTTTATATAAGATCTAGAGTCAAATCTATTAACCACCATAATTTCAAAGTAGTGATGAGGACAAGATCATTTTGAGATATTTGTAGTAACTGTAAACATGATATGAAAATATCCACGATTTCCGCTGGTGACAAAGCCCCAAGTGGCTTGTTGCCAATATTCACAATGGAAGGAAACGTTAAGTTTTACTTACAGGTTAATAAAAGTAAAGAGGCAACATTTTCCCCCAAAGTTCACACACTACCATACCCCAGATTCTAACTGTGGCTTCTCTGGAGGGGTCTACAGAACCTCAGCTGAAAATCCTTTCCCGAGGAGACTGCAGAACAAGCTAAGAGGATGCTGGTTCCCTTGATAGCCTTGTGGACCAGAGCTCAAACCTTCTAGAACACTCTCCCTCAGCCAAAGAAGAAATGACCTCTCCTATGCTTTAAGCCACTATTTTTCTGGTCTTAGTAATACAGATCCCCTCTCCCCGGTGTCCCTGGCACTCTCGGGCACGGCTGATCCTTCATCCCTCCCCATAGCACTTGGCAAGCCATCGCCTTCGTCCATTAGCACACGCAGCCTTTCGGGGCAACTGTCCACCTCCAGTCCATGTCCATCTCACACACTGGACTGGGACACAGAGGCACCTAGAGGTGAAACGACCTTGCCCAGCGTCGCTGAGGGAGTTAGCAAGGAGAGCTGGTGTGAGTCCAGGCAGCGGGACCAGGAGCCTGGGCTGCGAGCCACCTGGTCTCCGGAGTGACAGGCCACCCAAGGCCACCTACCTTGATGATGATCTTCCCCCGCAGCTGGCTGGGCGAGGGCAGCTGGTCCGCGCTGGCCTCCGTGGGCTTCATCAGCAGCTGGTCGCCAAACACCTCCTTGAACACCCTGGCCATGTGGCGCTGCTGCTCCACACAACAGTGCTCCTCGATGGACAGGATCACTGGGAAGCTGTGTGCGGGCGGAGCAGCTCAGCTCAGCAGGGGGGCGCGGCAGGGCCGGGAACCAGAGGTCACTGGTGTCCCCAGCCCGCCTCCTCCCCACGCCAGAACCAGGGCGGCACTTGCACTTTGGGCCTGTAGGGGGCGCCAGCGCTCAGCTGAAGACTTGTTGGGCGCCAGCAGAGGATGGAGGCGGGTGTGTGTGTGTGTGTGTGTGTGTGTGAGAGAGAGAGAGAGAGAGACCATGTGTGACTGTGTGTGTGAGACTGACTGTGTGACTGTGTGTGACTGTGTGTGTGTGACTGTGAGAGAGACTGTGTGTGACTGTATGTGACTGTGTGTGTGTGTGTGTGACTGTGTGAGACTGTGTGTGACTGTGTGGCTGTGACTGTGTGACTATGTGACTGTATGTGTGAGAGACTGTGTGACTGTGTGAGACTGTGTGTGGCTGTGACTGTGTGTGACTGTGTGAGACTGTGTCGCTGTGACTGTGTGAGACTGTGTGTGACTGTGTGAGAGAGACTGTGTGGCTGTGACTGTGTGACTATGTGACTGTATGTGTGTGAGAGAGACTGTGTGACTGTGTGAGACTGTGTGTGGCTGTGACTGTGTGTAACTGTGTGTGACTGTGTGTGTGTGAGAGACTGTGTGTGGCTGTGACTGTGTGTGACTGTGTGAGACTGTGTCGCTGTGACTGTGTGAGACTGTGTGTGACTGTGTGAGAGAGACTGTGTGGCTGTGACTGTGTGACTATGTGACTGTATGTGTGTGAGAGAGACTGTGTGACTGTGTGAGACTGTGTGTGGCTGTGACTGTGTGTGACTGTGTGAGACTGTGTCGCTGTGACTGTGTGAGACTGTGTGTGACTGTGTGAGAGAGACTGTGTGGCTGTGACTGTGTGACTATGTGACTGTATGTGTGTGAGAGAGACTGTGTGACTGTGTGAGACTGTGTGTGGCTGTGACTGTGTGTAACTGTGTGTGACTGTGTGTGTGTGAGAGACTGTGTGTGGCTGTGACTGTGTGTGACTGTGTGTGACTGTGTGTGACAGAGACTGTGGCTGTGACTGTGTGACTATGTGACTGTGTGTGAGAGAGACTGTGTGTGACTGTGTGTGACTGTGTGTGACTGTGTGAGAGAGACTGTGTGACTGTATATGACTGTGTGTGTGACTGTGTGTGACTGTGTGTGAGAGAGACTGTGTGGCTGTGGCTGTGTGACTATGTGACTGTGTGTGAGACTGTGTGTGACGTGACTGTGTGTGACTGTATATGACTGTGTGAGACTGTGTGAGACTGTGTGTCGCTGTGACCGTGTGTGACTGTGTGTGACTGTGTGTGAGACTGTGTGGCTGTGACTGTGTGTGACTATATGTGACTGTATGTGACTGTCTGTGACTGTCTGTGTGTGTGTGTGAGACCATGTGTGACTGTATATGACTGTGTGTGTGACTGTGTGAGACTGTGTGTCGCTGTGACTGTGTGTGACTGTGTGTGAGAGAGACTGTGTGGCTGTGACTGTGTGACTATGTGACTGTGTGTGAGAGAGACTGTGTGTGACTGTGTGTGACTGTGTGAGAGAGACTGTGTGTGACTGTATATGACTGTGTGTGTGTGTGACTGTGTGAGACTGTGTGTCGCTGTGACTGTGTGACTATATGTGACTGTATGTGTGTGTGTGACTGTGTGTGACTATATATGTGTGTGTGTGACTGTGTGTGTGACTGTGTGACTGTGTGTGACTGTGTGTGACTGTGTTTGAGAGAGACTGTGTGACTGTGACTGTGTGACTATGTGACTGTATGTGTGTGAGAGAGACTGTGTGACTGTGTGTGACTGTGTGTGACTGTGTGAGAGAGACTGTGTGACTGTATAGGACTGTGTGTGTGACTGTGTGAGACTGTGTCGCTGTGACTGTGTGTGACTATATGTGACTGTATGTGACTGTCTGTGACTATGTGTGTGTGTGTGTGTGTGTGTGAGAGACCGTGTGTGACTGTGCCTGCATGCACGAGGGCGTCTGTCCACCTTTCCCTTAAAGACGAACCACCAGGGAATCAGTCAACGGACCTTGAAGTGACAAAGGCATGGTCTTTGATGGCCTGCACGACATCATCAAACTTGATCTTGGTGGTCCGTGTCCAGCCGTGGTAGATGATGGGCTTCCCGTCGGGCCCGTCCCAACAGTCCACTGAGGGAAGAAACGTGTAGTCGCCACACCCGCTGTCTCTCCCCACCTCGAGAGCCCACTGATGGCAGCCACACTGGGGGGGGGGGGGCGGCTGAAAGCTCGGCCCCGGCCCCCCACCAGGGCTCAGTCACCAGGACATGGGGGCCACACCCAGTAATTCCCCTCGGGGGCCGGCAGCACGAGGACCCCTGTTATCTGTGTACATGCATTACTCATGCAGTTACGGGAAGACTCTGGTTGCTTAATTAAAGGTCCCCAATACATTTGTCCCAAAGAAACTAATTTCAATGTTTCCTTTTTTTTTTTTTAAGAGATTTATAATGTGGGATTTTTTCTGATTTCACTTGGCTTGCTTTTTCTGCTAATGGAAATAAGAGCAATGAGACATTTACTTTTTTAAAGTTCACAGGAAAATATTCAAACAGAACTAGATTATGCAGAAGGTGAACATCCCCTCTATTTTCAACCCCCAGAGGTAAGAGGAGCGGACCGTTTCAAACTTGATTTTTTCACGTTTGCTTTTTTCTGGGGTGGGGGGCATACACCAGGCAAACGTCTATAGGAATCAGTGCCACTCGAGTCTGATGCTCTGATGAATGTGCTTGATAAAACTGGAACTTCCATCAGTGCTCTGTGCCCTTTCTCAGCCCAGTACACCCGCCCGCCTTTGGTGGCACGGTCAGGCTGGGAGGAAGCAGTGGGCTCCTGAGCACGTCCAGGGGCCTTGATCGTCTGTGCTGGGGTGACCGTGAGCAACTCTGAAAAGCAGCTGGGCCAGATGCTAAAACATAGAGGGCTCCTGCCTTCCTCAAATAACAGCCTGGAGGGAAGCTGAAGGAGAAAAGAGCGTAACAAAGCCATCTTTGGTACTGGACTCCCAGCCCAGCCACTACATCAGGACATTCTCTAGATGCCCCAAACCACTGCCCCAGGGTTTCTTTTTTTTTTTTTATGTTATGTTAATCACCATACATTACATCATTAGTTTGTTTGGTTTTTTTAAGATTTTATTTATTTATTTGAGAGAGAGAATGAGATAGAGGCAGAGAGAGCACGAGAAGGGGGAGGGTCAGAGCAGGGAGCCCGATGCGGGACTCGATCCCGGGACTCCAGGATCATGACCTGAGCCGAAGGCAGTCGCTTAACCAACTGAGCCACTCAAGTGCCCTACATCATTAGTTTTTGCTGTAGTGTTCCATGATTCATTGTTTGTGCATAACACCCAGTGCTCCATGCAGAATGTGCCCTCCTCAATACCCACCACCAGGCTAACCCATCCTCCCACCCCCCTCCCCTCTAGAACCCTCAGTTTGTTTTTCAGAGTCCATAGCCTCTCATGGTTCATCTCCCCCTCCGATTTCTCCCCCTTCATTCGTCCTGCCCCAGGGTTTCTGACTCCAACCCGGCCAGGCTTGACACCATACCTCGTCCTGGGGGGAAATCTTCTGGGGAAAGGTGCCTAGCATTTGGTGGCCACGTCCTCCACCCCGAGATGCTACGGGCACCCGGGTCCTCCCTTTGCCTGTCCCACTCACCCCCACGACTCAGGCCTTTCAGACAACAAAAAGCATCGAGCAGCTACTTGGCAGACCTCAATTCACCGTAAGTGTCATCTCCACCGGGAAAATGGTACTCACGCTCAATGCAGCGACAGCCCATCCGTAGGCAGCGGATATATGCTTCCGTGGACGACTCGCTCCGCAGCTGATCACCCGTGAGGTACCTGAGGGAGAGGAGGCGGTGGCCATGTGGGGGCAGGGCTGCACCTTGGGGCATCCTGGGGAACTTCTCAGCCCAAGTGCCCAACATCCTGAATCCTTCCTGTCTAAAAGATCCATGGTGAGGATCTGGGCCAAACACAAGCAATCGTGTGGCCACACCAGTCACGAGCTTTAGGCTCAAGGCCAAAATCGCAGGATGTGGACAACAGCCACCTTGGCGATCCTAGGCAAGAGTCGAGACTGTGTATTCTTTGGAGGAGAACTTGGTCAAAGGGTATCAGGAGTGAAACTGACATGTGGCAATCAATTAATGACCCTACTACCCCACCCACCACCACCATGGTGCCCACTAGGAGACCCTTAGTCCAATGATGGGCCACCATTTTGGTATCAGGGCTCCAGGCCAGGCACAGGTCTTGAAGAACTATTGCTGGAATTCACTATGCTTTGAACCCTGTCCACCAAAACTGACATAAAAATGCGTATTTGTATGCACCTTCCTCCTCTCCATGTCCGCACCCCCCCACACCCCTTTTAAGAGTTCACATTCCTTCACGATCCTCCAGGCTTGGTAGGATTCAGCACTCTAAGCCAACGGACATGGTGGGAAAGAGAGAATCATGCAATCAATTTGCCCCCAAGAAGATGTCACCTTCCAAAATGCCGTCTCTCTAACTCCTGCCTGTGGTGACACTTGGGAAGGCACCAATCTGCCAGGTGCCCAGGCCCCAAGACTTTCACCCTCTCACCTTACAAGCAGACTAAATAGGGGAACCTGAGTGCAACATTCACTCCTCCCTTCCAGTCTACCCTCTCTTTTGCAATCAGGATAATCTTCCAAAAATGTGAACGTGTGTTGCTCTCTGGTTTCAAAGCCATCAGTGGCTCCTACTGCCAAGTGCCCTTTGCTGTGATTTAAACGGTCCCACTCAAGCAGAACTGCTGCCCTCCCCTCCTGCCACTCACCCTCCTGGATTCTACAGTCCAATCCCCCTCAGTTCCTCCTGCCCCTGGACCTTTGTACGTGTGGTTCCTCCTTGCCTCACCACCTGTTCTCTCATCAACTCCTGTTGATCCTCGAATCAAAGGAGGCCTTTTGGGGTACCTGGGGGCGGGGCTCAGTCGGGTGGGTGTGCTACTCTTGATTTCAGCTTGTGATCTTGGGGTCCTGGGATCGGGCCCTGCACGGGGCTCCACACTTGGCGGGGAGTCTGCTTATCTCCCTCTCTCTCCCTCCCCCTCTGCCCCTCCCCCAGCTCATGGGCTTGCACTCTCTCTAAAATAGATAAATAAATCTTTAACACAAAACAGAACAAAACAAAGGAGGCCTTTTCCCCTCCAAGTACATGAGGACAGAGCTGCTCCTGCTCTCTTCCCTGCTGTATCCCCAGCACCTGCAAGCACAGGGCCCAGCACAGGGCACACACTCAATATCAGCTCAATAACTCATTCAGTTGCTTTGCCGTGGCTACTAAGAGCTGTCTGTGAAAACCAGCTTTGCCAACTTGCTTTTTAGGGTCGTAGAAAAAAACGTGATTATTGCAAATACCAACTGGGAAAGGGCTGGGTGCATTCCCATGCCCCTTTCAGAAGCTTTTGTACAATCTAGTCTGAGGAGTGTGGCCTTGCACTCTGCCCACTCCCACACGCTTCACCAGAGCTGGGCACTGGCGTCCCAACACCCCGCCCTTCAGCCACCCGGCCCATCACAGGCTCACCAAGAAACTCACGTGTTATGCGAAGAGGAGATCCAGTAATGGGACAAGGGGTTGTTCATGTCCTGCATGTCCACCACGTCATACTTCTCATCCCAGATGCTGTTCTCCCGCGAAAACAGGTACGTGAGGAACTAGGAAAGTCACAGAGACGAGATCCTCATGAGGATGATGAGGATGGGTGGGGCCTGGATCTTTCTGGTCTCGGCCAACACAGGGAGATGGCAGATCTGATACGGGAACTCATAAGATCTCCTGGCCTCAGGTACCCGAATTTGTAATGCAGAATGCTCAGATTGCAACAGGATATACAGACGCATGTTTTCACTCAACTGGGTAACGCTTCCCTTTGTAACGTGTAGCCTAAAATAGTTGATACAAGCATACAGGCCTCCCACGTGCAAGTTTTAAGGCATAATAATACCATGAATATCTGTACTCAAACCATCCAACCTAAAGCAAAAGAACATCACCGGTATCCTAACATCGAAAAGGTAGGAAATTTCCTACCCCAATTCCTCACTCACTCCTTTAAAAAAAAAATCAGATTGAGTGGCACGGGGCTATACTCTGCTGCCTGGGACCAGCCTTACGTGAGGCAGGAGTAGTGCAGTTCTCCTCTCGGCCCCACCTCCCTGCTGCTTCACCCCATCGACCTTCAAATCTGGTCACTGTGCTTGTGATTGCTGGACGCTCCCTGGCAGCAGACGTCCTCTGGCAGGGAAGGCAAAGAACCCACCCAGGACACACAGCCCAGTAGAGAAGGATAAGCAAAACAGAAGGCTATGCTTCAGAACCTAGAAGAAAACCAGCTCTCAACCAACAGAGTCAATTGGGGGGGGCAGATGACAGCAAAGCCCTCCAAGCGGAGAGAACCAGAAAAACATCAGAGGTCACAGACGTGAATCAAAAAGTCAAGCCAAGTTGACAAGGAGCCCACTCACCTCATCGACAAACAAGAAGGGCTCAGCAGTTTCCCTCATGGTGTCGTCGATAAACTTAGTCATCCGCTCACGGACTTTGTTCAGATCCTGAGCCCAAAGCTCCTTCGAATGACAGAGAGAACAAGAAATCATCAGAAAGAGGACTGGCAAAATCCTTCATCTCTCAGGATCCAGTTTCCCATCAAAGACCAAAATATCAATGTATTTCAGATGCATATGCAATCAAGCGCCACGTATCACACATTACTCTGTACCTGACGAACCTTTTCTGTAAAGGACCAGAGGGTTAAATATTTTAGGCTTTGCGTCACAACCGCTCAATTCCGCTCCTGTACTGCAAAAGGAGCCATAGACAATACATACACAAATGGGCATGGCTGTGTTCCAATAAAACTTTATTTACAAAAACAAGTGGTGGGCCGCATTCGGCCCACGGGCCATAGTTCGCCAATTCCTACCCTATGCCAGTTCTCTACATTGATTGGCGTGAAGAGGACGGCAAGCACAATGACGTCAGACTGCCAGGGTTACTCACTTGGCTGACCCTGGCAAGCTACGTACCCTCCCTATGCGTCCTCCTCTACTACATAAGAATACTACCCAGGTGTAGTTTCTGTGAAAGGCTGTATGAAATAAGGTTATGGATTTAACACAGCATCTTGTACACAGACATCGCTCCAATCCCAGCAGCTGGTACAAACAATCCTCCTCCTCGTACGGTCACCTCTGTTAGTCCATGCAACTCTGCAGGTCATACACTGTCATTTGAAAGAGGAGGAAACAGAGGCTCAGGATGTCACATGACAATCCCAAGTTCACACAACTAGTAAGGAGCTGAGTGAGGGTTCCAAATACACTGACACAGCGTATGTCCTCTCTTCAAGAGTCAGCCAGGTAATGCTGCTCAGAGGCTTGGATGAGGTCGGAGATACACAACCAGTGGTTTAAGAACAGGTTCTGCAGCTTGGAAATGAAGCCCGTTAGAAAAAGAATACACAATATAAAGTAATTCTACTGTTTTCCTCTCTAATCCCTAAAAGCCCCTATATTCATAGCCAAAAAGATGAAACATGACACACAGATTCACCTTTGACTCATGTTTTATGGGTTGTGAATATTCTAAAAGCTCAGCCTTTCAGGATAATAAAAACAAATGCGCTACCAGATACGTGTGTGGTTGGATGGGAAGGGTCAGACAAGGATGTTTGAAAGAAACAAAGGCATAAGGACAGATACAAATGAGGTGGTGAGAAATGGCCTCGCTGGTACGTGGGTGGCAGATCAACACTGAGCCTTTTCTGTTGATGCCTGCAAATCTCCTTGGATAGGGACACAAAACAGCCAGGAGGCTGAGGAACAGCCAACTCATCTGTATACGAGGTTTTAGAATCATTGAATACTAGGACACAAAACTCAAATGCAAACACCTCCCCAGCCCTTGGTGCCCCCTTCCTTCTCCTACAAAGCTTTTGCATTTATTAACAAGCAAAGGTCCTTACCTAGTGTAACCTGGAATTAGCCTGGCTGGGTATAAAGAAATCTTCTGCCTAAAGAGCTTAAAATACCAATAATCTGGGGGGTTAAAAAAAAAAAAAAAGTATCTATTTGGTGTGGGGTAATGTGCCAGGCAGCCATAATAATGAAAATGTTAAGAAGAGTGAAGGAAGGGAACAGCGATGGGAGTCAGCCCTGGGCACGGGCTGCCTGCCGGGCTCCATGTTAAACCTTTTTCACACAGTGGCTCATTTTGAACTCCCACAACCCCAGGAAGTACCTATTACTCTCCATGTTATATAAGTGGAGAAACTGAGGCTTCACGTCATTAAATACCGAGACCCGACAATGAGCCCGAGACCAACCCAGGCACATGAGTTCTGGAGACTTCCTTTTACCCAACCCAGGGCTGGGCTGTGGCATATTTAACTAGTCCCCCAGTGGGAACTTTGAGGTTACTTCCAAGTTTTCATTTCCATTAAGGATTCTGCCATTACTTCTTTTTTTTTTTTTTAAGATTTTATTTATTTGCGAGAGAGACAATGAGAGACAGAGAGCATGAGAGGGAGGAGGGTCAGAGGGAGAAGCAGACTCCCCGCTGAGCAGGGAGCCCGATGTGGGACTCGATCCCGGGACTCCAGGATCATGACCTGAGCCGAAGGCAGTTGCTTAACCAACTGAGCCACCCAGGCGCCCCTTTTTTTTTTCTTTTTTTTTTTTTTTTTAAAGATTTTATTTATTTATTTGAGAGAGAGAATGAGAGACAGAGAGCACAAGAGGGAAGCGGGTCAGAGGGAGAAGCAGACCCCCCCGCCGAGCAGGGAGCCCGATGCGGGACTCGATCCCGGGACTCCAGGATCATGACCTGAGCCGAAGGCAGTCGCTTAACCAACTGAGCCACCCAGGCGCCCCCTGCCATTACTTCTTTAAGATAAGTTCCTAGAAGGGCAATTATTTAATCAAAGTATATAAACCTTTTTCCCCCAAAGTTTTTGTTTTAATCGCATATTGCTGGGACACCTGGGTGGCTGAGTCGGCGAAGCATCTGCCTTCAGCTCAAGTCATGGTCCCAGGGTCCTGGGATTGAGCCCCGCATCATCCATCGGGGCTCTCTGCTCAGCGGGGAGCCTGCTGCTCCCTCTGCCCCTCCCCCCACTTGCGTGCGTGCACGCTCTGACAAATAAAATCTTAAAAAAAAAAAAAGTAAAAAAGAAAAGCACGGGCCCCTCTCTCTGCTTTATGCTGTTGGGAGCACATTACCCAGCATGTAAGGTGCACAAATACTGCATTTGCTCCCTCAGTGCACCCCACTTCAGCTCTCGTCTCGGGGGGGAGCAAACAAGCCCTCTCTTGGTCACTCTGGTTCAAGCCCATGTGGGGAAAGCAATGGCCTCTCCATGTCCTCGGTCCCCACTCAGCAGGCACTGCAGGGACTACTGTGGTTACGTTTCGTTAAAAAAAAAAAAAAAAAAAAAAAAAAAAGTCTATCTTGGAGAAAGACACACTGAGGCATTCACAAATGAAACGATACATAGTCTGGGGTTTGCTTTAGAATATTCCAGCGAGTATGAAGAAGAAGGGGAAGTAAATGAAGAAGAGGGGGAAGGGAAGGGAGGCACACAGGTATGGAGAGGAGGACACGTAAAATAAAATTGGAAACACGTGCATCATTTCTCCATCTGAGTGATGGGTACATGGTGATCCATGATGCCAGCCTGTCGGTCCACTTTTGTCTGTGTCTGAGGTGTTCTGCAGTACCGAGCTTTTGGAGAAGTAGATGAACTGAATATTGCTATGAGCCTAAAACGGCTCTAAAAAAATAAAGTCGATTAAAACAAATAACAAAACCAAAAAATTAAATAAGGAGGAAAAAAATAAAGACAACTCCAGTGAAATATATAAAAAATTTAAGTACCTACATGTATATGCACATTTATACATACTCATACACATACACAAAGATCATTACAGTCTGACGAATTCTGGAAGTAGGGCTCCCATCCCCATTTACAGAGGAAACTGGGGAGCAGAAAGGTCAAACCACCTGCCTAAGGTCACCCAGCTAGTAAGAGGATCTCAGGTTTCTCTCAGTTGAATCCGGAGTGTCTCAACCTCAGCACTACCTTTGGTCGGGGGAGGCTGTCCTGTGCATTTCAGAATGTGGAAGAGCGCCCCAGGCCTCCACCCACTAGGTGCCAGTAGCCCGCCCAGTTGTGACAACCAAAAATGAGTAGAACAACTCTGATGGAAAACAACTGCCCAACACAAAACCCCTTCACCCACCACCAGCCTGTCCACAAACACGCTGGAGACTTTGCCATGTGTCATTCGTTAAAGGACAGCTATGCTGTCTTATCCCCCAGAGGACCTGGCAGGCTCGTCCGCCCAGTCACAGCTTCCCATCAGCCAGGGAAGGCTTTGGGAAAGGGACAAGTGCGATGAGCCAAGAGAAGGAGCAGAAGCCAGTCGGGGGCGGGGGGGGGGAGGGGGGGCTCACATGACACATTCCGCCCCACTACCCTGGACTGCGCTCTCTCTCCCCTTCCCCGGTTTGCGCCTGGGAAAGGGGCCCAGATGAGGCTGTTCTCTTTCCAGAGTCCAAGACACCGAAGCGGCCCTGGACAGGGAGCACCGTGTTTCAATCACAGGCCAGGTGACAGGTGGGGAGAAGGGGAGACAGCGGCCCAGGCAGCTCCGCCCCACTCCCCCAGCCCTGCACGTCTCTCACCTGCTGCTCATGTAGGAGAAAGCGCTGAAAGTCGTGCAGGTAAACGGCGGAGGCGTCGGGCCGGTCGGTGTTGCTGCCCTCGGGGAAAGGGAGGGTATTTAGACAGGACACAATCCACAGACGCTGCCACCAGACACACTGCAAGTCCCTCCCGGGAGACAAGGTGACAGACCCCACATCCCTGACGTCGGAGGATGCAAGGGGGGGCCCTGACGCCCGAACCTGGGAGGGTGGGGCCCAGGAATCTGCATTTCGCTGCTCCCTTGTGCTGCCAGCACACCCTGGGATCTGCAGAGCACCTCCAGGAGTGTGGCCTTGGGGGACGCAGTGCAGTAAGGCGATGCAGTGATGATGGAAAGCGGGAGGGCGGGGTGCGAATCCAGACCTGGAGGGCCAGGGAGGCTTCCTGGAGGATGCAGCAGCTGATGGGAGTCTCAGAATGAGCAGGGGCTCACGAGAAGGTGGAAAGGGTCTCGGGCAAAGGGAACCATATATGCAAAGGCCTAACGGAAAAGAGAAGGGGGAAAGGGGAGGAAGGGGGGAGAGAGCCATGGGGGGGGGCAGACGTGAGCCATACAGCAAATGCTTAGGTAGGGCTGGATGTGGACAGCATTTCGGGGGAGCCGATGCTGGAGAAGTGAACAGGGGCCCATCAGAGGGTCTCCTCAGAAGCCACAATGCAGAGTTTGCTGAGCCAGTGAGGGCTCTGAAGCAGGAGTGGGAGCCAGATGAAGCCCCCCCAGATTCTGGGCGGATGGGGAGAATCAGCCCGAAGATGCAAGACATAGGCTTTGGAGCAGGCAGAGGCCCAATGTTGGGAGGATTTTCTGTTTGAGACGAGGGAACCCTTTACCCTGAATACAGGGAGACTCCACCTCAGCCAGCAGCCTGCTGACAGATGGCCTCACAGGAGAGGATGCTCGCGGTTACTGAAATACTGGGACCTCACTGGACCAGCAACCCTGGTCTCTATGGAAAGTGTTTCTATATAACAGAGCTTTCCAGGGAAATCTGTACTTTACCCTGAGCATTTGCAAGGTGTCTCTGTGTGTGTATGTGTGTATTGAGGGTCGGGGGGGGGGGGTCTTTTTAAATACAGGAGATAAAACACACTTTTAGCTGTTCCCTTTACTACACACTCAGGGTTCAAAAGTCTAATGTCTTTAATTATGAGTGTATCTGTAACCTTCTTTGCTAACCAGCCTCATGGTCTAACACTAACCTCTTCCTTAAAATACTGCATAAAAATCAAATCTGTTTCATATGTACTTTGCAGTCCTGAGGTTTCTGGTTTAGAAAGGGACAGCAGGATCAGCTGCCAGAGTGTTCTCATCAATGAGGGCTGGTTCTGAAAAGCAGGCCTAGGTCAGCATGTCACAAATCATTTTAGGTGCTATTAACTCCAGACCAAACATTTTCCCAGGCAGTTAGACTTGGGAAACACAGAACACTTCATAAATCCCCCACTTGGGGAATTAGTAAGAATAGTGAAGGTCTTGGGGCGCCTAGGTAGGTCAGTTGAGCATCTGACCCTTGGTTTCGGCTCAGGTCATGATCTCAGGGTTGTGAGACTGAGCACTGTGTTGGGTTCTGAGCTCAGCGCGGAGTCTGCTTGAGATTCTCTCTCTCCTCCTCCCTCTACCCCTCCCCCAGCTCACTTGTACTTTCTCTAAAATACATAAATACATCTTTAAAAGAAAAAAAAGAACAGTAAAGGTCCTGAGAAGTCCCGCAGCACTTACACTGTAATAATAATACCATCATCACTATTACAAGCCCTTTGCCACCCCACACACCACATGAAGCACTTTATATGCGTCGACTCATTTTAATTCACTTAAACCTGTTTAACCAGGAATTTCCCAAACTCCTTTCTGGGAAAGCAGGTCCTAAGGCATACAGGCTTCTCTACAGAACCTTCTAGGCCACCCTCCCACCACTCCACAAACCCTGTTGCGGTTCATGTTTATCCATGCCACGGCTCGGGAAAGCCAATCCCCCTGTAGGAGACCTTGTCTGTGGAGACCAGCGGCTACCCACAGAGGTGGCCCTCCTGGCACCAGCTGGCCCAACTGGGAGGCTCCACAAGGGCACCTGTGCCCAGCACAACCACCCCGAACAATACCCCAGAAGAGGTGCCTCACCCCAAGATAAACACGGAAGAATCTTTTTTGAATTCATCAAGAATCTGAAATAGAAGACAGAAGAAAAACACATAAAAAAATAAGAACATTAGACAAGTCAAGCCACTCGATGCAAATGAACAGTTTTTTATTAAAAAATTTTAATTGGTATGACTTATAAGCAGGCAAATATGGCAGAAACTTACTTATGAAACAAAAGGGAGAAGTCTTCCTCACCCTCCTTCTTAGTCTTACTCCTGAGAAGTAATCAATCTCAGTAATTTGGTAGGTTTCCTTCTAGAATGTGTTTGATGGATATTCATTTAATTATATCTTACGGTACGTGTGTGTCTCCAAACTTTAAGCTGTTCATTTTAGGCTTTACATATTATTCTGCAACCTCAAATAGTCTTGCCTCCCTACTTTGAAAACTTTGTATTCCATAATATGTACATCACTGATGTTAGGTAGCATTACTTAACCATCTTTAATGAGACTGTGATTAGATAAGCATTTGAAGAATTGAGGGCACGGGGCGCCTGGGTGGCTCAGTCAGTTAAGTGTCTGCCTTTGGCTCAGGTCATGATCCTGGGGTCCCGGGATTGAGCCCCACGTCTGGCTCTGCTCAGTGGGGAGCCTGCTTCTCCCTCTCCCTCTGCCCCTCCACCTGCTCAGGCACACACACACACACACACACACACACTCTCTCTCACTCTAATAAATAAAATCTTAAAAAAAAAAAAAAGAAAAGAAAAATTCAGGGCACAAATGGAAATGCATCCACTGGCACGTTACAAGCACTAATAATATAAACGGCACTTCTGCTCTGGACCCCCCGGCCCTCTTGCCAAGCTGCTTGGAGTCCAGGATGACACGTGGAAAACCAACCTTCTGGAAGAATTCTCTACAGGCCCCCAGGAAGCATCAGGAGGTCTGTGTAAATCTCCACTCGTATGTATTTTTTTTTCTGGGAAAATAATCTATAGCTTTAATCAGCATCTCAAAGAAAGAGGTCACCCAAATAGGTTAAGAACCACTCTTTCAGAAAAACTCAGAAGTACTTCCTTCTATTTACGTGCAATTTACAGCAGAGCTATTTCTTTATTTAAAAAAAAGAAAAAAGAAGGGGATTTGGGGCAGTGTGTGCTCTTTGGGATTTGGTCTCATTTGCCACTTAGATTCCTAGATCGACCTAGTGTTTAAGGCCAGATCCCTTCCAAACCCAAACCCCAAGACTGGTCTCCTTATACCTGGAGAAAGCCCAGTCAATTATCCACTCTACTAGATCTTTAAAGCCAGCAGGTTCCTCTCCTTCTTTTCAATGAAGCACCAAAAAAGCTCCACCCCATTTCAGCCAGGTGCACAGCTGGGACAAAGGAGGTGCCCCTATTGCAGAGATGCTTCCAGAGCCAGAATATATGGGGAGAAACACCCCAGCTTCCCCTCTCGTATGCCTGTGTCTCCATCCTGGTCACCCCACTTGCTGAACCTGCTAGCAGAGGTTCAGCTACCTAGGAATGTATTTGTGGGAATCAGCACCCCCAGGGTACAGAGCAGGGCAGGGAAAGGATTAAAAGCCAAAAGGCTCACCACTTGCACAAGCAGAAGCAGAATTCAAAGATGCAACACAACAGGGCAGGTGTGGGGGTGGGGGTCATGGGGAAAGGAAGGTAGAAGGCAAGAAGATTCCCGGGCCCACCCAACAGAGCGGCCAGTCACACCCCCACTGCAGTGGAGGCTGGGGAGAGCGGAGAAGCATCAAGCGGTCGCTTTTGGACACTGCAGCGTGAGATGCAAGGCAAGCAGGCAGTGAGAGGGGAGAGTCTGGCTAAGCACAGGCCCTGCTTGGGATGACCAACCTCCAGACACCAAGAAATCAGAGACCCAGCCAAGGATGTTGTGAGCGAAGTGAGAGGAGAATGCAGACAAATGGCTTTGTCCGCGTGGAGGTCACTGGCGAGATGACAAGATGAACTGCCGTGGGGGGGGGGGGGAGGCTTGGACACATGGCTGGGACAGGCTCAGGAGACAGAGAGGGGGAGGCGGTGCAGAGAGTGATGCTGATGGTGCTCCTGGACAGGTCCCGGGGCAGAGAGATGCAGCAGCAGTCGGACGGGGGGGACGAGTCAGGGAGGGCATCCTATTGAAGGAAGAGGTTACAGCATGTGTTATGGGTCCATAAGTGGCCCCCAAAAGATCTGTGCAAGCCCCAACCGCTCCCCGCTCCATTGCGAATGTGATCTTATTTGGAAATCAGATCTTTGCAGATGTGATCAAGTGAAGGCAAGGTCCTCCTGGATTAGGACGGGCCCTAATGCCATGACTAGAGTCCTTATAAAGGGGGACATCTGGAGCAGGCACAGACCAGGACAAGGGGGCCACGTGATGACAGAGGCAGAGACGGGGGGGTGAGAAGCACCCAGGATGGCCAGCAAACAGCAGAAGCAAGGAGAGTGGCAAGAAGCAGATCCTCCCCAGAGACGTCAGTGGGCCCTCAGCGCTGTTGGCACCCGGACCGCGAGAGACAGAGGTCTGTTCTCTCTTCAGCCACTTAGCTGGGGTCTGTCGGGGCAGCCCTGGCGAACTCACAGGGCTTGTCGTGAGCTGATGCAGGGCAGCCACAACCTCAGTTACCCCTCGTGCCCCTCTCATCAGGAAGGCAGTAAAACAAACCCCACGTCAGTCACAGACTCCCCCCCCTTTCTCTGGGAGGACAAGCAGGTGTTCTAAGATGACATATCTAGAATGTCATGGGGTCAGAATCTCAAACCTGGTCTACCTTGGCACTTCTCCACTGTCCCAAACGATACGTGCAAATGCACACAGAGTAAATAATGGCATCCTAGCAATGAGAGAAGAATATTCTAGATGCTATAGGCACACAGTGGAGAGACAGCAATTAAGTTATTCTACCATTACTGTGTGGGGTTATGTGGTCAAAGTCTACCAAACCAGGACATTGTTGGCTCCATGTGACTAGAGGTGACATCCTTGACCCCTTTGGCCCCAGCAAAGGATCTATGAGGTCAGGGGAGATGTCTGTTTTATTAACCACTGTGACCTCCTGGCTCAAATGTGTGTTGAATGAATGCCTAAAATAATGGACAAATTAATTTTCTCTGGGGATAACTGAAGGCTACAAGGAAGAGTCACCTTTGACTTCTGATTCCCAGGAGACAAGGGAAGGGACTGTGCCAAAGGATGGGGACTACAAAAGCAAGGGCCCAGAGGCGTCAAGGTCAACCTGAGGTCAGGGAATGAGTCTCCCCACATGGCCGGCGGGGGGCAGGGGGGGGCAGCGCACCCTCCAGGCTACGACTCGCCCTACACCCTCTGTGCGTAGCAGGTTACGTGAGCCATTCGGTGCCAGGAGGCCAAGGGGAAAATGACAGTGACAGAAAAAGTTAACCAGAGATTCACCGCTGACTTCTGTACTGTGGACGGTTCTCCCCATCCCACCCCCCCCACCCCCACCGCCCATTAGAATAATCTGCAATATTCTCTGGAATCCTCAGCCAGACGACCATTATAGAATGTGACTCACTTCCCACACACTGGCACCCATGTAAAAGCTCAAAGAATAAATATTAATCTTTCTCCTCAACGTATAATCATAGAAGGTTTGGAGACATTTTACTTATCTTTTTGTTTGTATGAGTTTCCTACTTCTATGTAGTAAGTACGCGTTACTTTGCTTATCATACAATTTACTGAAACATCAGAAATGCGTTTCCAATCAAGGGCTGCCCGGTCCTGTGCTTCAGCAGTGAGGTATCGAAGGACCCCCCTGGGAAACCCACTGACTCTGACCAAGATGGTCCTGCTGAAGCACCAAGGCAAGCTGTAGTCCCTTCTTCCGAGGTAATTCTGCCACAGGAAGGGACAGGCTGTCCTGGGGGCCAGCTGTGCGCTGCATGCTGTCTGCTGGGGGACTGCTCTCGACGAGCCCTCTTTATCTTCTCAATAAGCCTGGAGGGTGGGTACCATCAGCCCCATGTAACAGAAAAGACTGAGCATCTGGAAACTTAATACTGCTCTCAGCTACAAGTAACACGAAAGCAAGGTTAGTGCCACCTTTAAGAAAGTTATAGCTAATTTTTTTTTTATTTGACAGAGAGAGAGACAGCAAGAGAGGGAACACAAGCAGGGGGAGTGGGAGAGGGAGAAGCAGGCTTCCCGCCGAGCAGGGAGCCCGATGCGGGGCTCGATCCCAGGACCCTGGGACCATGACCTGAGCCGAAGGCAGACACGTAACGACTGAGCCACCCAGACGCCCCCATTTTCTGTCTTAACAGGCAAACAAGCAATGGAAGACACCTACATTCAGAGTCCAGGGGGGTGGTGATGGATGGTAGAAGGCCGTGTGTGCTTGTTTTCTGGTACCTTGCAGGGTTGGGAAGGCACCTGTTGTTTGAATCGCACTGGACACGATCTGGGAGCTGATGATTATTTGGGAGCTGCTGGAGAGCAACTCTGAATCTTGGGTTTATGGGAACCCATGGTGGACAGAATTTTAAGGTGGCCCCAGGATGTTCTCCTCCCAGTGTCCACACCCCTGCATTTCCCTGCCACTTGCAAAAGTAATGGGATGTACATGATTATGTGTCTCGGACTGTAAGATGCCGCTATCACGATTGAGCACCGGTCTTGCCGCCTTTGAGGAAGCCACCACCCATGCAGGAGAGCTCCATCCATCAGAGGGAGCTACAGGCAGCATCTAGGAGCTGTGGGTGGCCTCTGGCCAGCAAGAAACTGAACCCTCAGTCCTACACCTGCAAGGAACTCATTGTTCCACAACCTCATGAGCTTGGAAGCAGGTCTTCTCCCACTTGAGCCTCAGATGAGACCCCAAATCAGAGAATCCAGCTAAATAGCCGAGCTCCAGAAACTGAAAGAACAATGAACATCGTGGTGATAATGTTATGCAGCTAATGCAGAACCCTAACACATTTCCAAAGGTATCTACCAGAGGGTACAGAGAATAGATCATACGGAAGGGCAGGGGGTAAAAACCGATGAACAATAACCTGACCACCGCATCCCACAGGGGTGAAACTCGAATCCTGGACCAAGAGCAAGAAGGAAATTAACCAGCCATCCTCACTGCGGATCAGAGCCTGTGAGTACCTGATGCCTGGCTGCCACTAACCCAGTTTGGTGGGGAGGGAGCACAGCAGCAGAAGCTGGGTATTCAAGCATTTAAGGGAGAAATAATACAAAATCCCCTGAGCAGAGGGTTTGCTTCAAAGTCCCCTGAGCAGAGGGAAGTGGGTAAGAGCAAGATGAAATAGGAGAGCCATGAGTCGATCACTGCTGAAGCTGGCTGATGGGTACATGGAGTTTGTTACACTATCACCTCTGCTGATGTATGTGTGAAATTTCCCTGGATACAAATGTTTTAAAAATTAAAAACAAGTTATCAGTGGCTGGGCACCAAAGTTGGGCAGAAGGGAACTCAAATCCTAGCTCTGCAGCTTATTGTATAGTAACCTAGTTTACAGGTTACTGTATAACCTCCAGCAAGTAATCTCTCCGAGACTCAGGCTCTTCATCTGTAAAACGGGGATAACGACAGTGCCTCTCACACAATTAGAGAAGAGAATTAGATGCGCGGACAACACTTAGCACAGCACCCAGCGAACAGTTTACACTTAAGAAATGTTCGCCGTGCTCTTTAGTCATAATATTGTTCGTACAGCCCAGTTAGAGGCATATCACGGGGGACACACATGGAATTAAGTTTCTTGTCCTCCTGTGGCTGCCTAACTTCGAGAAGCTTTGAGGCTGACAGCCGCAATGTAAGCAGGTGGTCAGACACAGGTGTCCTCAAGCTGGGAACCGACAGCTGCTGATGAGCAGGAACCCACTCCTGGATCTAGGCTGGGGGGTTGTCTCTCACCGTAAACAGCTCTGTCTCCCCAAAGGAGCCTACGAAATCCAGCTGAGCCTCTAAAGAGCACCCAGCTATTGCTTTTCTGTGCTGTGTGCTGCCAGTGAGGAACTCAGGAAGTGAATTATATGCTGACCCGAGGGGAGGGGCGTTCACCTGCACAAGAGTAGTGAGGTCTCTCAAGCTGGCCATTAACTACCTATAGAGCTGAGGGCTTTGTTATCCAAATTCCAAGTCAGTTCTACCTCTAGTGCTAGAGAGCCAAAGTCTTTGGGGCCCCGTAGGCAACATAAATCAGTAGAGAGCTGGGGGGTGGGGTGGGAGCTGGGCAAACCAGAGAGGGCTTGATTCCTTCCTACTCAGAAGTCCTCATGGGGAACTCAGGACCCATATATAGCCACATGTCTTTTTTTTCCCCAAAAGAAGCAGAAAATCTAGATTTTTTTTTTAAGATTTTATTTATTTATTTGACAGAGAGAGACACAGCGAGAGAGGGAACACAAGCAGGGGGAGTGGGAGAGGGAGAAGGGGACTTCCCTCCGAGCAGGGAGCCCGATGCGGGGCTCGATCCCAGGACCCTGGGATCATGACCTGAGCCGAAGGCAGACGCTTAACGACGGAGCCACCCAGGCGCCCCCAGAAAATCTAGATCTTAATGTGGAATCTCTTAAGTTTTAAATGTAGGCAATTCATTTTAAAAATATTTAAAGCATTAGGCCAAGTCCAACAGAATGCAGGCTCAAGGTGGTATTCTGGCCAACAGAAGCAACCTCTGGTACAGATGTTTTCCCCCCAAAACTGGGCAATCTAAGTTATCCCCAGAGGATTCGGGGATTCTGCAGAAATCTGACTCAAATGTCTTCTTCCTCTTCTCCCTCCCAAACACACACACACATTAGCCTTAAAAAGAACTGTAACAAAAGTGCAGGTTGAGATAAGTCTTACGTGGAATTTTATCACAGTGGAAACAGACCACCAATGGGTTAACCTGTGCTGGCAGATGAAATAGCTTTTGTGCAAACCTTATTCTCAAGCTTCGCCTGCCATCTGTCTGAGACAGCATCCCGAAATTTCAAGGCAACTGATTATAAAAACTGTTATTTGCAACTACTTATCTTGAGTGAATCGAGCTTTTCTCAATCCCGGTCAATTGCGTAAGACAGCAACTGTCATTATTCTGGATTTCACTTGTACATTGTCATCAAAACATTTTCATTGTTCTCAAGAACTGATTTTAAATAAAACAGATTTTAACCTAAAAAACGTGTTTTGATCAACTTTTATACAGTTTTTTTAAATTAAGTTTTCATATAAAAAAGGGCAGGCAGGGGCACCTGGGTGGCTCAGTCGTTAAGCGTCTGCCTTCAGCTCAGGTCACGATCCCAGGGTCCTGGGATCGAGCCCCACATCAGGCTCCCTGCTCAGCGGGAAGCCTGCTTCTCCCTCTCCCACTCCCCCTGCTTGTGTTCCCTCTCTCGTTGTGTCTCTCTCTGTCAAATAAATAAAAAATAAAATCTTTAAAAAAGAAAAAAAAAGGGCAGGCAGGTTATATAACTTAAAAAGTTTCATAACCAATGACCTGATTTGATACCTTTATTTTACAGAGGTGGCTGAGTGAACAGGAAAAAGATGACTTTCCCCAAAATCACTTGTGGTCAGCCCAGGTCAAGCTGGGGCTGAACTCCAGGACTTTCAATCCCCAAAACCTACAGAGTCTTTCTACTCTATTTGGCAAACCAAGAACTAATATGTGAAAATCAACACAACGCAATGGAATGTTTTACTCTATAAAATACTGTATTTTCCTCCAATCTAGGCAGACTAGAAATGCTGCCCCCATTTCTTTGCCTCAGATACATCCCAAATCCCACAGCCAACCGTCACCTATCAAGAAGCCTCATCCTGTGCCCACTGCAAGCCTGCATGCAGAAGGCAATTAATAAGTGTCTTCTAGCAACTGTGTTTGTTCTTTTTTTTTTATTAGTAGGCACCATGCCCAACATGGGGCTTGAACTTCACAACCCTAAGATCAAGAGTAGTGTGCTCAACCAACTGAGCCAGCCAAGAGCCCCCCTTCTAGTGACTTTCATATGCTCATCATTTAAAAATGCCTGCACTATTGACCTCCCCATTCCAAGCCCTCATTCAATCCTCCCTAAAGCCCAGTGGGGCAGGAATCCCTGCCCCCATCACACAGATGAGTAGACTGAGGCTGAGTGTGGTGGGTGGCCAGCCCCGGATCACACAGCTAGTTGGAGAAACCAGATCTCCGGCTCCAAGTCCCACATCCCCTCTGCTCTGCAGCTCTGCTCTGGACCCACCTCTGCCACCTGCAAAGCCCTTTTCCGACAGCAAAGGCTCCTGTTTGTGGGGTGTGCACCACCCACCAGGCACTGTGCACCATGCACCGCACCAAACCCCACTTTTTAAGCTTTACACTTAATGGAACTTTTTCTTATCGTGAAAGTAATGTGCTCTTCGGAACAAGTCAAAGAAAACGGAGGTGTGCGGAGGAAAATGCAATCATGTCTCCTGCCCATCTTCCCAAGCGCCTTCAATACACAGACAAAATCAACATTAGTGTGTATTCTTCCACACTTTTTCCTTTGTTCATAAAACACACAGAGACATATGGAGGAGGATTATTATATCCTGGTTTTGGTTTGGGTTTTTCATCAGACCTAGTTCCTCGCTTGGATCTGCCGCTGGCTTTGCTCACAAAATATCATGAACATCCCTCCAGATCAACCAACACACAGACTCAGACTTCTTAATCAGCTGCATAATGTTGCGTGGTAGGGATTGACCATAATTTACTTAGCTATTTCTCTACTGAGAAGCAGGCAGATGGCTCCCAGGTATTTTGCCTGCCTAAGTAATGCTGCAATAAACAATCTGGTAATAAATTCCTAGGTCCCCGTGCCCTCATTTCTCTCAAACAGAGTCCCCAAAATGCCACTGTCAGGTCAAAATGTATGCATATCTTAATTTAATTTTAAAATGGCATATTATCTTAATAAAAAATACTCTCATAAATAATGAATAAAAGCATAAAAAGAAGGAACACACACATAATCCCTCCACCCAGAGATGGCTCCCCTTAATAATTTGATAAATTTCCTTCCACAATGAGATCATGCAGCCAAGTTAATGGGACTTTTTTACTTTAATAGGCTGCAATTCCAGACTTCTCACATTCCCACCAGGAGGGTATGAAAGAGCCATTCCCCCCATTTTCCCCATAGCTCTCTCACGTGTCCATAATCTAACAGTTGCAAATAGTGCATCCCAGTCATTCCCACCATGCCTTTCCTTGACGAGAACGGACACTCAAAACTTCTATTGGGTTTCTTAGGAACGTGCCAGACTTTGAAACACAGGGGAAACAAAGACATCATTTGATCCTTTGCTCAAGAATTATCTTACCGACTTTTGCTGCTCAAACATAAGTTTTTTATAGAACACGTGGAACTGCTCAAAGCTGAGTTCGTCTTTGTGTGCACCGATTTCCTGTAAATTAAAAAAAAAAAGTGACCACGTGATCTCTGAAGTCCCCAGGAGCAGGCCCCACACTGTGACCAGGCGGAAGGGCTGATCTACAGCCCTGGTTACAAGCAAACTCACCTTCCTCTGAACCCAAACTGTCCACAGGTTTCCTCATGTTTCTGCCTGGAGAACATACCCACCAGGGGCCCCACCGGGTAAGATCCTGCTCTTGCCCTTCACAACAGAAGAGATTTGGCCAGAATTCCAAGAGCGGTAATGCAGAACTCCTCCCTCTGGGGGCAGAAGACACTTCCAAATCCAGGCCTAGCACAGGGTCATTCTAAAAGCATGGGAAAACTAACCAAGCCTTTGGAGTTAGAGCTCAACTCCCGTCAAGGCTTGTCCCCCGAATTGCTTATGGTTTGGGTAATTTACCTGATCCATTCAGACCGTCAGTTTCTTCATCTATAAAATGGGAAAACCACCACCGCCCTCCCTAGGACTTCCCCAAAACCAAACCAATAACATCTACGAATCGCCAGCTCAGGAAAGCCTTGATAAAGAACAAGATTCCAACAATGTGACGATCGATGGTAAATGCTCCCCGTCTCTGTTTCTGCCTTCTTAGAATAGTTGGAACGTTCCAGGCAGGTCAAAAGATGGCTTGATAGCCAGAAAATGGGTTAACTCTTCCGAGAGCTCACTGGTACAAAAATGAATGCACTTCCGTGGCTGAGGAAGCCTATGACTGGGGCTGCCATTGGGAAGGCCACGTGAGTCCTGCAACTGGAGCTAGGGAGACAGAGTGTCACAGAGTTCCTTGACAAGAGTCGGGATCTCTCTGAGCACCAGTCAGGGGGCCTACACATCTTCATCCTAACCCCTTTCGGGAAGGCCCCACCTGCCCTACCCTGCACCATCACTCTCGGAGTGACTTAACCTGCCACAGATCTGCCAACAGCTTAATTACACCAGACCGTAACCAAACTAAATGATGGGTGGGAGGACAGCTGAGTGGGAAGTGGGGGGAAAGCCAGGGAAGAGCCAACTCGGACAACTAGGTTATGAGGACTTGGATACAAAACGCCACGCCCCTGACAACCAACATAAGGAACCTTTCATAATATTTTCCAAAAGAAACACATTAGTTCGTGTTACTTGAAGGAAAGTAGGCTGCAGAACGGTGAGGAAATGGAAAGGCTATACTGGTGGGAGCAAGTCAAGCAGCTCAGCAAACATGGTCCTTGTGGAGGACGTCCTCAGCTAGGTCTGTGAACAGGGTGCTACGACCTTCACGTGGTTCCTCTGTCTGGACTGGGACAGATGCATCTGGAGGTGAAGGATTCTCTTGGGCACCATTTGACAGGGCTCAAAGGCTAAGTGACCCTAAGTTCACAAAATCGCCAGGCCAGACAAGCTAGGAAACTTACCACAAACTTATCTTTGAGGAACTTGGCACTGTTCACTTTGAAGTTGACCAGGGGTAAGATGGTCTTCAACTCTCGGAGGCTGATGCTGCAAAAGAGGGAAACCCCAGCTCTATTGACCTCGAGGGGCAGACATGAAACATCCCAGGGGTTCAAACCAAGGGGTGGGGGGCGGTCACAGAAGGCCGGAGGGGAAAGGGGAAGGATCCAGCCTCACAGGAGCACCTACTATGTGCCAGGCTGCCCTGGTGTCATCCAGGCAATAATGTTACCTAACGCCTCCCTACACCTGACCCCCTACACAGGAAGCATGACCCACCCTCGGGCTTCAGATCAGGCAACGGGGGAGGGGTCTGGGAGGGATACGCTGCTCTAGGTCAGAGCTGGGTGACAGCAGAGCGTGGGTTTGAATCAAATCCCAAAAGGTATAGTCATGTGGACCACATCACAGAAACCCCCAGGCATGCTTTTCACTTGGGCCAGGGGGCAAGTTCAGTTGCAGAGGAAAGAAGGGGAGAGCACATTCTGAGCAAAAGAAATACCTGTCGCAGCTCTAGTTAATAACAGTAGCGACTGGAACTTCAGCCGCGCATATTCAATGCCAGGCACCGCTCCGGGGGGTGGACGGATGCGCAGACACATACCCCCTCCATGCTCTCACGACCTCCCTGGGGTGGGTACCATCACCACCTCCACATCCCGGGTGAGGACACAGACTCAGAAGGTTCGGAGCTGGGAGATGGGGGAGGTGGACTCCAGGGCATTTCCCTACCTCTCCAGGGACAGCACGAACAGTGGGGAGGTGGGGGGTGGGGTGGGGGGGTCAAGGGCATGGCATCCAGACCCCTGCAGCTACAGAGCCGAGTGTCTGCTACAGCGAGAGAGGGTGGTCTGGGAGTGCTGTTGGTATGGTCAGAGAAAACTGCTCTGTGTTCTGGAGATGTCCGACTGGACCGGGCTGTGCATGGCCAAGGAAGGAAGCCAGTCCAGGATGTGGGCAGAAAATGGCCGAGTTTCCCCAACGCTGTCAACTCGGCCTCTGCCGGTACATCCGGAGAGAAGCAGCACGTTACCCTCCGCAGCTGGCCCTGCAGACAACGAAGTGGGACTCCCGGCTGTCCCAGTGTCCCCACCGCCAGCCTTTCTACCTCTAGTCTAACAGCCTCCCTAACATCAGACATCTTCACCTGCAAGAGGCTTCCCTGCCCCCCACTACTACAGGGTCAGCACCAAGGGCTTTCCCAGAAATGAGAGCAACAACATCAGGTGGGGCTGGCTGGGCAGAGAATCAAGCAGGCTGGCTGAGACCCCCTTTCTGACCCAGCCCCCGGGATGTCCAGCAAGGCCTGGCCAGGAACAGGACGAAAAGAGAGGAGCAACAGGGTCTGGTGCCCCAAGACGGGGCAAGGAGAGGGTGTGGCCAAGCTGGTGGCCCTGCAGGGCTCATCCAGCACCAAGGAAGAGGTCAGAGTCCCCTGGGGAACTCAGAACCTCTAGGCAGAAACAGGGTCAAACCTCCCTACCTCCAGGTACAGAGACAGGGGGGCTGGGAGCCAGTGGAGCAAACCAGACCTGGGGGCACAAGACTCTGAGCAACAGGGCACCCGAATCCACCTGCTCCAAAAGTCCCACCTTACAGCAGAGCAATGGAGCCCCCAGGTAAAGGTGGGGGCCACAGAGCTTCCTTGGGCTCCTGTGCTGGGACTTTGCCGCTCCACGCCCCCCACTCTAGGCCTGTGGGTCTGGGCTGCACCGCCTGACCCTGAGCCAGGACAGGCACAGGGGCTCCCCAGCTGCTGGAGGGGAAGAATCCAGCAGCCCCCAACCTCACCCCTCTCCCTGTCCTCAGATGAAGAGAGTGCCTCAGCAAGGTCGAATCCAGCATCCCCAACCCTCTCAGGACCTCAAGGGAGGACGGCTCTGGAGGCCGTGGCTGTGACCACGGCAGCTAATTCCTGCCAGTACGCCCTCCCCAGTAAGCTTCCTGCACACTAACACCCATCTCAGATTCTGCTTCCTGCAGGCTCAGCCTGTGACCGTGGGTTAGGAACCAGGGCAATTCCTCTGGAGAGGGAAGGCTAGCAATGGTCCCCACCACAGGCCATACAGAGCCCCTCCCCCTTCCACAGCAGGCATCACTCCACAATCGTGGCACCTCCCCGTGCCGGCCTGGCACCGTCCCAGCTCCTACGGCACCGTACCCCAGCAGCCTTGACCACGCTGCCCCAGGAAACTTACCTGCCACGGGAGGCTGGACCGACACCTCTACCACCCCCGGGGTTCGTAGAGCAGTAAGGACAATCTTAAGCCTCTGTCAGCGCTCACCATAAGCCGGGCACCATCTAAGCACTTTCACATACCCACCCACTGAGACCTCACACCAACCCAGGGAGGCAGCAACTATTAGCTCTCTCTTACAGACTAGAAAACTAAGGCACAGAGAAATTAAGTAATTTCCCCGAACTCACACAACCAATAAGTGTTGAAGCAGAGATTCAAACCTCACCACTGCCCAACAGAACTTTCTATGATGATGGCAGTGTTCTAGATCTGGGCTGGACGATGGGGTAGCCACTAGCCACATGTGGCTACTGAGCATCTGAAATGTGGCTAACATGACCCAGGAACTAAATTTTATTTAATTTTAATTAATTTAAATAGCCACCTATAGCTAGGGGCCACCGTATTGGACAGAGCAGCTCTAGAGGATCCTTTTCTAAGTAGAGTCCCCAGACCACCGGCACCAACATCAGCTGGGAATTTGTTAGAAATGCAAAATTCTTGAGCCCCAGGCTAGACCTAGTGAAGCAGGATCTCTGCTGGGGAGACTGCACATACCTAAGGCCAAAGCCCCCAGGCAGTCCCAGTGGGCTGGGGCCACACTATTACCTGCATAATACCTCCCTGCATTCCTGCTGAAGGAGAGACCCGGACGCACATCCCTATCTCCCACCTGGAACCCCTGGCCCTTCTGCCTCCTGAAACACAACACAGTCTTCCCTCTGCCCCTGCCAGGCTGAAGGAAAACGGGCAGCCCACCCTTAGCCGATGCAAATTCCATGTTATATGCCCAGGGGCAAAAGGCAAAGGAGGGAAAGAAATGTCCACAGGAGACAATCTGCTCCCAACCCTGAGGCCCCTGCCCCTCCGTGGGACGCAGCCATGGTGAGCCTCGCACCAGGGAACAACTCCAGGGACCCTCACAGAAGGTTCGCTGGGGGAGGGGGGGTTTCTCAAGGGGTATTTTGATCACAGAAATATTCACCTTTTGCACAACCTCAGAACCTAATTCCCTGATAAGAGACAACTAAACTCTAAAGGCTCAAAGATGGGGGTGTGGGTGGGCGTTGCCTCTAAAAATCCAGCCAAGAGTTACTGTTAAAGAACGGACACTTCTGACTCAGTCTCTGCAGGCCTGGAAATGTCATAAGGAAAGTTTCCCAAGCTAGAATGTTCCATTTGCTCAATGTTATGTCTAGGAATGAAAGGGAGAACTTCCTTTCATCTGACAAACACTAGGAAGACCAAACCAGCCAGACCCCTGACCTCAAGGCGCCCCCGCCAACGTAAGCAGCAACAGGAAGGTAAGACTCCAGGAAAGCAGAGCATGTCTGTCCAATGGGGGACTGCGGAGTCATGGTACAAGGACCAAGAATCCTACAGTGGCCCTGAAAATGCTTCTCGTGAGGGTCACATCCTGTGTTTACTTGGAACATGATTCGGTACTAATGTGAACATAAGGAAAAACTGGACATAGATTAAATGACAAAAGACAACTTTTCAAACCAAGTATCACATTCCCATTGGTTGATTTCTAACGTAGGCACGGACATCACTTTCCTGAAGAGCTGCAAGGAAGTGGAGACGTTCTTAAGCTGTAACGTGATGTGAAAATGGTTTAATCCTCGCCTCCTTTAGGGTGGGCTGGATTCAGCGATTTATTCCCAAAGAATGGTGGTGGGGTGACTTTACAAAGGGCCATCTTCCCAATACCACCTTGGCCAGGGGATCAAGAGTGACATCACCACTGACAAGCCCTGAAGAGAACACACAGCCCTCAATGTGATGACAGGACAAAGAAGACTTTCCCCTCTGTGATATTCTTCCCAAACACCCACAACCTCAGCCTATCCATGACTCCTGCCTCATCATGACAAAAATGTCAGACCAACACGAACTAAGGGAGATGCTAGAAGATACCTGGGTGTATTCCCCAAAATCGTCAAGGTCGTCAGGGAAGATGGAGAAACTGTCCCGACCCAGAGTAGACCAAGGGGCAGAACAATGCAGTGTAACGGGGCCGGGGGGGGCGGGGGGGGGAGGGCGGTTAGATCTGGAACCAGGAAGAGCACGTCGGTGGGGAAATAGTGAGCTCCCCATCAAGTCCAGGGCTCAGTTCAGAGTCCTGTGCCAATGCTGTTTCCTCAGTTTCCACAAACACGACGTGGCAATGCACGAGGGGAGCATGAGAGAAACCTGGGCAGATGGGTATTTGGGGACTTCCTGTACTATCTTCGCAACTTTTCTCTAAATGTAAAGTTAACCCCAAATTTATTTTTTTTAAAGATTTTATTTGAGAGAGAGAGAGCACGCATGTGTGCACATGCACAAGCAGGGGGAGCAGCAGAGAAAGAGGGAGAAGCAGACTCCCCACTGAGCAGGGAGTCCAATGCAGGGCTCGATCCCAGGACTCTGGGATCACAACTTGAGCCAAAGGCAGATGCTTAACCGACTGAGCCACCCAGGTGCCCCTCCCCAAATTTAGAAATTAAAGAAGAATAGGAAAAAAGATCATATGTGTAATTAGATTTTAATGAAGTAAAATAAACAAGTAAAAAAACAAAGCTGAGACAAACTGTAGCTGGGGTTCATGGTATGTAACATTTATTAATATCACATTTATACAGATTCTAGTTCTCAGAATTTATAAAATTTTCTATAATGAACATGAATTACTTTTATATTTAAAAAAAAATCTATGTGCACTTTTTCAAATGGTAATGCTAAAGAAAAGCATAATGAAGAATAGAATGAATGAAAAATAGTAGGTTATATAGTTCCTATCCCAGGGTCAACACTTGAAAGTTG